CGTTGTTCCACTAAATTGATCGCGCATCTTTCAGCCGACAGCAGCGAATACAGCAGCGGCCCCGGCACACTCCCAGGTGGGACAACCGCGAATTGCCTTATCGCAGACATGCAATCCCCTCTAAAGGCCATTCTTCACAGGATTCGCCGCTTGTCGAAGGTGTTTAGCGAAATGCCAATAGAGCACGCTGAGTGTTAATTGGACTTTGAACATGAAATCACAGTAAAGCCTACGATCAGACTGGCAAATAATTTGCACGCACATTCCTCATATTTGAGGAATAGAAAACTTACCGTTTTCTCCAATAGACCTAAACAGATAATGGTATTTGACATTTGTGTCTCTTATGACCCAAGGCTAGAAATTATAATGCAAAACTTGAAGACCAGTTGAAAGTGTCGTCTTTGCGTCGGAAAAGCCGAACTAGATGCCGATTAATGTTTTATGTTATTCTCGCTTCCTAACGTATCAAGCATAATCAAACAAGTCTAGTGTTTAAGAGCCATATGTAAGGAAATAAAAGATGAGTAACGTATGTATGTATGTATGTACATACATAACCGAATACTATATGTTAGATTGGATACAATTTCTACCATCGTACCATTATTTGCTTATAAACTAATTGGAATACACAAAATCGGTTATTGAGAAGCAATTCTAGCAGCATTTCCCATTCCATATACACCGCTATGCTCTTGAATAGGGACAAGATTTGTATACCCTGTACCCAAAGGGTAAATGCGAGGGTGTACATGTAACACCCGGAAGGAGGCGTGACAGACCCCACGAAGTATATATATTCTTGACCATGGTGTCAAGATGAGTCGATATAGCCATGTCCGCCTGTCTGTCTGAACTCAAGGAACTCAGAAAGTACAAGAGCTAGAATAACTAAACTTGGTATGTTTGTCCGTTTTTTCCTTTAGGCTGTGTTTTTTTTCTAGGCTTTGTTCGGACTCTTTAGTAGATGGTTTATGTGAAGTTTGTACAAAATCGGTCCAGCGGTGCTTCATTTACCACATTTTATGTAACAAATGAGTTCAATAAATGGCGGATCACTTTGTTAATGGGGCTTTTACTGTCAAATTGAAACCTTTTTCAGATGGGGATGGTGGTGTGAACTTGGAGGAATCATGTCTTTCACATGGCCAACTTTATGTTGCCTGTTCCAGAGTCGGTACCCCCAGCCGTTTGTTTATTCATGCAGGGAAAACCAAAAAATTTTGTTTAACCAAATGTCTTGGATTAAGTTTTAAAATAGCTAGCAATTAATAAAATATTTTTTTGTTTTAATAAATGAATTTTATGTTCCAATTAAATGTTATTGTTATTTCACTTTATACGTAGCCAAGCACGCTAGTTATGAATAAAATATTATCATAAAAGTTACTTGGGCTAGAATTCTATTGTTCGGTATTTTACTTGTATTAATACAAAGCAAAAAAAAAGTAGGGGGTTATTAAATAAAACTTAATAAAATTAACTGGCAATGATAGTTCATGTTAATTTTTGTTTTCAGCTTTAAGTTAGCATTATATTGTATAATAATATTAGTTCGTAATTTAACTTTGTATAGATTTATTCGTTTCACAATATTAACTACATATAGAAGAGTAATTGGAAACCTTTTGACTTAGTCGTGCCGTTCTAAAAAAAAATGTTTAATCGCTCCAATCTGTTTAATATTAAGATCCTTTTATTCAATTGCAGCCGTTTAATTTCAATTTTAATTTCACTAAGAAATAAATGTCTTTGTGAAATGCTCTTGTACTAGACAAGCGGGTGAATGGAATGTTGTCTTCCCCCGATTAAGTGAATATATTGCAAAATTAGTATAAAGAAAACTAGAAAGTACATGCGGACCGCTCGCATTTTTGTAACAACGACACTAATTAATGTCTGTACATTAATTCGTAGGCTATGGAGCAGCTTCAAATCTCGACCTAATGCCCCTACTGCTGCTGCTTTTGTTTGAATATAGGCAGTACATACTGTACTGTATGTTTTCGTTATTTATCAATATATGTTGACACGTATTTGTAAAAGATGCTTGGCTGCCTGGCTGTTGGCTGATCACCCTCCAGAGTGAGCGCTCGGTGGCGTTGTCGACAATGTAATTTATCAGCTGAGCGACATAATTACCTGCCACTTATGGCAATAAAAGCGGCTAACCACACGACAGCCCAAGCCGGGTAGCTGTACATACTCGTAGCTGCATTCAAATGCCGTCCAGACGCCGTACGGTCTTAGCATGGCCAACGGCAGCCGCGTCGGTAACAGTTGAAGGATTTATGTTCTTGCAAAACGCTCGCAGGCGCCTAACAAGTGAGCCTCGACGTTCGCGCGGCGATGGAGATTGATCGTCATCGCCATCATCGTCGGCGGCGTCGACGTCGGCGGCGATGAAGGCAATGGGGCGTATGTGGAATGAAAATTTGCGTTGTTTGCTCCTCGCAATTGTTTCCCACCGTTGGCGGCACTTCGCTTTGATCTTTGCGATCTTTGGAGCTGTGCTCGCTCACAGCTTGTTGACAACTTACGCTGTCGCATTGTCCTGCCGTATTCTACAAATTGCAATTCCAAATCCAACAATTTGGATATATAATTCGGCATATACTCGCTCGTACCGAAACAAAAGATAACACTTGCTCTGAATTTTCTAAAATCAAGCACCCTGAACGCACACCCAGAGTCAGAGACACCTGTGCAAATTTATCATTTGTGTTCAATTATGGTCCGTCGCCTTTTTAAAGAGAGATCACCTGGAGAATACAAAGAAGAGGCCAGACAAATTCATATTTTATTGCTTGACCGTGCCACGAGCTCAGCTGAGGCATTAGCAAACAATGCACCACCAGGCCAAACAGTACCAGCAACAACAACTATTTTTTGTACTCACTCTCCTGCCTCCTCCCAACCTGCCAGCCTACCTTCGGGCATTGCCTAATCTGAATCCCGTTGCCGCTCTAGCTGCGAGTCCGAGTCCCACTCCGACTCCGACCACTGGCCATTGTTTTTGCCAAATTGCAATTTGAACATCATTTTCATATGTTGGTGGCAGTTATAATCACGTTCACAGCTCGTTAAGAGTCGCGGCGTCGTAGACGCGACGACGATTCGAACTCACAACCCATCCCACCTGCAGCTGTTTCGACATCGCCATAATGGTGTAGCCAACATAAACCTCATATTGACCATTAGTAGGCAGGCAGTGAGGCAGGCAGGCAGCTAGGCAGGCAGCCGGCAATGACGGTGGCGGTGGCATAAAAAAGTTGCGTTTGTGTTTGCATTTGTGCATCTTCATCGATTTCACCACTTGCCACATAATTGGCCAGCGGCGGTGGTGGCGATGGTTCCAGCCAGAGCCTTCGACTGCAGAAATGGCAACACGTTTTTTCTGCTACTGCCACAATGTGCAAGCGTGTGCGTTGATGATTACCGATATAAAAATGCGTTGGATATGTGAAAAATATGCAGCGGTACTTTCTGCCAAAATCTGGTGGTTGGCACTTGCTCTCCGTACGGTTCAGGCATGCCACAAGAATACCTTCCTAGTCATCGAATTGTCGCCGATCGAACGCTTTCCACACCCGTACTGTCAGCTCTCTGTGGCAACAATTTAATTGACAAGATCTTCAGGCGGGTATTGTGCACAACTTTTTCATTCTATAAACAACCTACCAAAATTATTCCTATTTCAAGTGCCGATCCATCAGGTGCTGCCGGAAATAAATTCAATTGGAATTCTTCCAGCCTCACGGCTTATAACCCCTAATATTTGTTAAAATCGGATTTATATTTGTTAACCAAGAAAAAGTAAGGCTTGCAGACTTAGCGTCGTGCATCCTCAATATCTTGGGCCAAGTTTAAACCGCTCCGTTGTACTTTTCGGAGAAAGCTAAAATAAGTCCAATTGTGGGCTCTATAACTCCAGAAGAATGTCTAAATTTTTAAAGTACTATGAAAAATAGAATAAAAGCGGTTAGTGATTAGGAAACAGAAATTTTAACAAAAAAAACTTACTTCAAAAAAACCGTTCCAACAAATTAATATGCACTAAAAAGTAAAATAAAGAATTGTTTAGTCTTCTACAATAATATAGGTACAATTATTGTTATTTTTGGAGTCGGTATCAGCCAAGACAGGATTGTAAAGACATACATAGTTATAGACGAGATGTGATTGTGTCTTTCGTATAACAGTTAATTTGTAAAAAAAGATGTTTTAAAGTATTCTCGTATGTTAACTGCTAGGTATATTGTATTGGCCTACACCGACTCCTAAAATAACAATAATTCTACCCACATAAGTCGACTTTTTTGTTTACTGGTTCAAAATAGAACTGAGTTGGATTTGTTGAAGTTTTTTCATTGATTGCATCGTGCATTATTTAATCAACATTTTAATTCTTTTCCTGAACAGGATGCTGTTACTACAGAATCTTTCTCGATTTGATTTACGTTTTCATTTATCTCGAGGTAAGCAATGCACTTGTGCAGCATTCATTGTATTAGATCCGAAGTCGGTTGCTTTGTTTATTTATGAAACGTGGGCATGTTTTGATTGAAATTCAAGATAATCAAATGATAAATGTTGTGCAATGTGCAATCATCACCTAAGCGTAAATAGAAGTCATTAAAAGTCGCACTATCAAAAACAAACCTGGCCGGACCAATTAATTGTTGTTAGGACTCGTAGTACAAAGTACGACTAGCCCAAGTTTTAATTTGTATCAAGTGGTATTATCGCTGTTGCTAAAGCGCTTAATATATCATTCCTATTGTACAGGAACAAGAAGTAACTATGCATGTAATTTGTATCCTACCACCAAATCCGTTGCTTGTGTTAGCTATATGGTGTAACTTGATGACTCCCGATCCGCAGGAAAAAATAATAAAAAATAATTTATCTTTTTAAATATCCTATACTTTTATCATTTGCTATTGTGGATATGGAGAAGGAACCCAAAACCTGGCCACGCGCGCCCGTTTCCAAAGAGGAGTCTGCAATTGAATAGTTGGAAGCACATGTGTGTAAATAAATTTGTAAATTTGCCATATAATATTACTTTTCGTAATATTTCATTTGCGTTTCGTAATTTTAAGAAAAATTATACCAAAATTTCTTATCTATTCAAAATTATGGCTTTTAATCCAAGTACTAGAAATGTGGTCCAGATATCAGAGGAGGCGGCTCCAGCAGTGCACTGTAAGTTTTCTTAAACGGTTCATGGGCGGAACACAAAAATCACTCCTTGTCCGCAGTACCCGTAAGGGTGGGAGATGAGGTCTTCATAATGACGCAGCAGGACATACGACGCGTAGAAGATATACGCTTTTTAACCTATCATACCATAACGCCCGATGGAAACATCTCACCCATAGACACGGCTGCGGATAATGTTCAGCATTGCTTTCCTGTGCAGGCCTCTGGCCCATATACTATGCTGCAAAATTTGATGGCTTGCAACGCCCAGCTGCCACCTGCACAACTCAACTCCTTGAGTCCACATCAGAACCCGCAAGCTGTGTGTAAATTGTACAATTTTATTACTTCAAATTTTGTATTGCCTTCTCTCCAAACAGCGCCAACTATTCTATAGCACTGGCACCTCCACTAACGGTCTTAAAGATTATGTCAATGCTGGCAGCCAGACAATCCCGAGCTCCCAAAGAGATTTCGGCACAGACCCAAAAAACAATCCTTCCCAGCGTTGCGCTGGCACTAGCATGTCAAAAGCAGAAGAAGGGCAAGATGCAGAGAATTATTCTTTCTCCAATTATTAGATGATCCAGCGCCTGGCTCAGCATTGAAGACAGGGCTGCAGCTGTCGCGTCAGGCGACCAGTATCTATCGGAATAACATAAGCCCCTATCATCAACGAGAGTAGTTTTATCAATCTAACATGAAATCGCGTACTTAGTTTTATATCTCTGTCTGAATAAAATGTTTAAAAAATAAATACATAGTTTTTATTATGTGCACGCATATTATAATATTTTTTACACTGTTTTGTTCATTAAAAAAGTAATAATTTGTAAATAGGGAAAAATTACAGCAGTACTAACAGCATTATTTTAGATTTAATTTAAAATTCATTTTAGTACTTAACATTTCAAGAACATACCAAGAAATACCAGAAAAATGGTATGTAATACCAATTTTCCAATTAGAACCAACAAAATCCATGCGGTTGGCAAGTCTGCCACAAATGCTGTCACACTTGTATAATGACTTTAATATAACGATATGGCAGCCCAAGTTCTGCTGCTGTCATCCGTTGTAAGTGCGGCCGACGCCAGCGTCGACGCAACAACGAAAGCTTCGACAAGCCGCCGCTTCGTTTCGTACTGCAACTTCAGTCGCTAGCCATTTTCTAACGTTAACGGGTTTGCGTGACGACTAGTTACGCGCGTCAGCGTCGCAGCCACACAAACAATAATAATAAAAAAAATCATTAAACAAAATAACAATAATAAAAAGTTGCTGCTACCGCTGCTATTGTGTGCAAAGAGAGCTTGTTATTTTGAAAAAAGCAAGAGAAGCAAAAAGTGCAAAAATTAGAAATAAAATATAAAAACGCTTCAACAAAAAAGTTAGTATAAAAAACAAAATTAATTTAAAGCAAATCTAAAATCCCTAGTACACCATCATCACAAGCGTCTGTGTGCTTCAGCAGTTAAATACATATGTACATACATTCATTCAGTGCAAGTGTGAGTGTGCGAGCGCGTGTATGTGTATGTATAGAAATGTCAGTGCAGTGAGTTTTGGTGTCAGCGCATGCGCCAGCTGCGACGCTATCGTCGATTTCATTGTGCCAAGTTTTACAATTTCGTTTTTAGCAATCAACAACGCACGCACATACGCCTCGCATTGCTATTGCTTTCGAAATAATAACAACAGCAACAACTACATAAATACTCGTACATACATACATATGTATGTACATACATTGGCGGTATGCGATTTTAGTTCATTAATTTATAACCGATTTTTAGGCTGGGCCAGGCAAAGTTTTGGCGGTGTCGCTGCCATCGTTTCGGTCTCTTAGCCAGCCAGCCAGTAAGCCATTCAACCAACCAACCAACCAGCCAGCCAGCCAGCCAGCCAGCCAGTCATCCGCCCGCCCGCCTACACACAAATTCGAGTCGTAGACAAACTGGCGAACGACTATCGTAGCCCCCTTCAACCGCCAGTCGCCACTCGCCACTCGCCACCCGGTCGCCCACATCAGCCACCCGCACACTTACTACGCGCGCTTGTCAAAGCTTTTTTGCAGTTGCGGCGGCTGCCATTAGCGTAAGCTTTTTCTTTCATTCAAGTTGTTGCGGAGCGCGTCGTCGTCGTCGTCGTCGCCGTCGTTGCCGTCGTCGACGCAATCGTCGTCGTCATTTTGCGTGAAAGTTAATTCCGTTTACTATCGGCATTCATCAACATCATCATCATCAGGAGGGGTGACGGGGGCGGCAACATCACCACGACTATAATTTAGTTTGAGTGTTGCATGAAGCGGCTTCGTCGTCCTTGTCTTTGTTTTTAGCCGGCTCTGGTGCTAAGCATTTAAGTAATAATTGACATGCATTTGCGATTTGTGTGGATGAGTGCTTATGTATGTATGTGTGTGTGTGACAGATAACCATAATATTTTGCTGTATTAAGATTTGGAGCATCTTGTGCCATTCACTGCCAGTGGAATGAATACTCGTAGCTGAGCTTAGGCAATCACTTTGCCTCGCACCTTTTGTGGTCAACAACTCAACAAAAGTCAGCCAGGCGCAATCAAGAATGGGAAGAAGGCGATGAGGGAAAGGAAGGAGAAGTGGAAGAGCAGAAGAGCAGCAATGAATAAGCAGAATGAAGAAAGAGAAAGACGCACTTAAATTGCACTTAATGAAGCTGCATCATCACATTTTGCATTTCATTCCGTACGTGAGCTGACTTTCGACTTTAGCACACAACTGAGATAATACAAGTAGGGAAGGGGGCGGGAAGGATCGGTGGGAAGCTCATACAATAATAGAACACATAGCAGCAACCTCTGTAGCAGAAGCCGCTCCTTTAACATGCAACAGCCATGTGCATCGCAATAAGAGAAATGATGAAAGAGAATGGGCGGGGGAGAGACAAATGACTGCAAATTATGCCAAGACACTGGCAATTAATAAGTGGAAAGACCCTGTCGTCGCTCCTGGCAGCGCCTCAAGCGATTACGAGTGGCTTACCGTGCTCTCATTTGCATCCAGCTCTAAGGATCCACAGATGCGGAGGAGCAGCGCAGAGGCGTTGACTGTTTGCCACCGGCAATACACAATAATTTAGCATAGCTACAGGCGCTGACAAATACATGTACAAACACACCCACTCACGCACTCACCTACACAGTCAGTCACGCGGATGCTCACGTACGTGCATGTTGTAATTGTTATGGCCGCAAAGGAATGTGACTAATATACATAAACAGGCACGCAAGGCGGCCTTTGGGCCCGCAGCAATCAAGCCAAACGTCCAAATTGCCAAACTGCCAAAGTGCCACATACATGACACATGCACACACACACAGAGACACACACTCACATTTACACACAGCCACAGACACACTTGCACGCACTCACACATGACAATCAATATAAACGCATTTTCATAATTAATCAATGCTGAATAATTTGTTTGGGTCCACACTCGACTCGACTCGACTCAACTCAACTCTACTCGGCTTGTCTCGTCCTGCCGCCCTATTCTGTTCTGCACGTCGCATCCGTCCTGTTGGCCCGCCCTTTCATTTCAACATTGCTGTGGGTCAGGTGCGGCAGCCAAATCTCTGAGGCTTGTCTCTGCTTTTATCCGTTGCTTTAATGAGCCACAAGCTCAGAACCTTGCTAGCCAACCAACCACTCTGACGACCATTTGGCTTTCTGGTCTCGCTCGCATTACACGGCCATAACAAAGGCAACAACTAAATGAGCCAAGTCCAAGTAGACAGTGCGTGTGGGTGTGTGCGCCCCTATTATGTGTATTTAAAGATCATTAGTGCAAAATTTATTTATCGATTTCCACTAGTTGAATAGACAGCTTAACACCAATAGTCGCCGAATGGCACTGAATGATTTAGGAGATTGCGGTGGGGCGTGCGAATGGGCTGTAAAGGCCAGGTGTCAAGGCGCATAAAATGTTTACATATGTATGTTTACATACACTACATAGTAAATACCAAAATTCGTACAACAGTTATTGGATTTATCTACTTCATTTTTAAAATCGTAACCTATACCAATGCGTGCGTATGCGAAAAGAAACAATCAATCTACTTAGACATGAGATAAATATTTATAAAAAGTATTGCATGGCAAGCATTTGTTTCTGTAAATCCCGACTTTCTACCCTTTATTGGTCTACATATATGATCTATTTGGCATATGATATGGTATTGGCATCTACATACATATATCGTGTACGTCAAGAAAGTCAACTTGGAACTAATTCAGCATGTTTATGCGACATTCCTTCTATCTTGTCGAATTTCCGCATATCCTTACACACATATGTATGTATAAATGTTTATAATGTGAGACCTCATTTTTCATGTAATGTTACAGTTATGTTAGTTCGTAATTCAAAGCTCCCAATGTTTATGGCTCTTCGTCTGTCCAAATAATCACATATGTATCTCGTTGACAAAATAATCAAAGCTTCCTAAGTTTGGGGAAACCGATAGACCTACTCCCACTGGATGAGATACAACAAGATTTGTTTATTTTATTATACTTTTTTTTCAGTGTTGTATATTTCGACTTTTGTAAGTTTTATTATTTTTTTAGTTCTTCTTCTAATTTTTTACATTTTAAACGACTTCAAAAAAGGAGGAGGTTATCAATCCAGCTCTGACTATGGCATCCATGAGAAAACCATACAAGTCTTCAATTTGCATTTAGCGCGACAAATGGACAAATAACTCACAACTCAGTACATTCGACTGGGTGTACCCGAAAGTGGTGCTTCCGGAAGGTCCCATTTCAATTTGGTCCACTTCTGACAATGGCATCTATCAGAAGACTACTTTAAACGTACCTCACTTAGTCCAAATAGCTGAAAATTCTATTCCAGGATACTGTTTCTTCAAAATCATCCTCGAAACATTAAGCCAATTTTTATTTTATTTTTATTTAATATTTTTTATTGAGATTAATCACGGCTCTAACAGAAAATGACTTCAAATTAGGGCATAGCTGGCAGGAGTGCAAATATTTTTAAGCCTCTTGTTTTAGCTTAATAATTAATTGAGGTGATGAATTTAGGAAGTCTATAGTTGTTTTAAAATCCGTAATTTTGGGATTAATTTTAGAATTATTATTTTGACGCAAGATTGAAAACATAGAGTTAAATTCTCCACCATCCGTGTTGGTCAATTTATGTTATGAGCGTTGGGCAAACTATTCTACATCAATCAATCAAAATGAACTACATCATTTAATTTCATCGCAAGTGAGTCATCCAGGATGAAATGAACAATATTTCATATAACAAATATTCTTTTTAAAAACAACATTTGTGTATAAAGCTGTGGCTAACCATTGGCAGACCATTGGTGAAAGACATTAGCGAGAAAGTTCTATTGATAATTAATAGTAAATAATGTACCAGATAGCTTACAAATGGTCAGGGAGTCGTGCATAATGCACTCAGAGATAGCTATAAATTGGAATTACGAACATGGACAACATTCATAAGGCAAATTGACTTTTTTGTTGCCCACGATTTAAATGTATCTTCAAGGTGCTTTAAGTTTTGAAAAAGGTCATGAATGCTTCTTCTATTCGCTTAGAAAAAACAATCGCTCTTCGTGCAGTAAATTGCCAATCAACGTTCAACCCATCACTAGCATGTCATGTGTGTTTAACAATCAGAGACATACGGAGGACTTGGGGCTTCGAACTCGGGGGAGTTTATGCCAAGGTTAGCGGTAAATTAATGTGAAAGCGTTGAAAGTATGTGGCGGAGGGTAGGTGGCATAACAGTTGACTGCCACATGCGGACACACACACACAGACACACACAGCCATGCACAAACACGCGCACACATACAACTCAGCTTGACTGCCGTAAATACCGCAGCGCGAATTCCGCGGGCGAGGACCAACCATAAATATTTTTCGAAATAAATTCTCGGTTACAAATTATGATTTTATGACTTTTTGATGGCGCCGCCACACACAATTACACTTTCCCACACACATATACAAACTTATACACACATCAACAGCTAACACAACCGACTGCACTTTGCGGCCGCACTCCGGGCCAAGCTGGCGGACCAAAACGCTTACGTATTTATAGCCTCGGCCCGTCGGGCTGCTTTATATTTAAGTACGCGCATATACACGCGAGTGAGTGTGTGTGTGTGTGCGTGCGTCTATCGATACAAAACCCCAGCACTTATACATACGCACTCATAAAAAACTCCACAAATTTTGCATTATTTCGAAAAGCGTCTGAATAAAAAATTTTTTTTAAATTGGTACAAAACAAAGCGCACAGAAGAGGAAAAGGAAAAATAAAATGGATGGCAAAATGAGTGTAAAAAGTTATTATAGAAGGCGTGCATAAAAAGTGGAGGTGCATGTGTGGTAGTGTGTATGTGTATGTATGTATGTGTGTTGCTGGACCGTGTGTATGCTGCCAACACACAGCTGCTGCTGCCATTTGCCGGCGCTCTTTGTGCCACCATTTTTTTCGCTGGCTTGTCGTTCCTTTTTTTCGGGGTATTATTTATGGCGCCTAACATTAAATTAGCCAAAGCGCACAAAAGTATGCAGCATGAAAAATTGCGACGCTCCTGGCGACAGAACCCGACGACGATCCACGTCCGGCGCTTATTAGGCTTAAAAATGCAGCGGGGGCCTGAATGGAGGGCTAAAGTGGGGACTGTGCAAATGGTTGACACACACTCTCTTACTAACATGCATACATACATACATGCATATGTACATATGTATGTATGTATGTGCGAACAGTTTAACCCCCATGGGACAAATATTTCGGTTTGATTTTGTTTGCTTCTGAATGTTGTTTTTGGCCATGTCGTTTTGTTGTGTATCCTACTCGTTCCCATTTGGTGTGCTTTTGCTCTTCATTTCAGGTCGTTTCGTTTGCGTATTGTGCGAAAAGTTCTTCTAATTAGTCGCATGTGTCAACGTTGCATAATTCACATTCACATGTACATATGTACTTATTTATATACACACGTATGTGTGTATGCATATACACATACATACATATATGTATTTGTTTGTATTTACTTACAATTATGAGTGTGTGTCGTTTTTATTGTTACTGTTGCTATCGCTGTTGTTGTTGCTCTTGCCAGTCGCCAGTCGCCAGTCGTCTCAAGCATGCATACACTTGGCGTGCTTTCAAAAGTTGTTGCTTGCCTTGGCTTGCCTTCTTCCTAGCAGCGAGTGGCAGCGCTGAAAAGTATGCAACATTGAAATAATAATTACAAATGTTGCACAATAAATTGCAAAGTAAACAGACTTGGCGCTACAGTTCTTGTTTTTGTTATTCTTGTCGCCGTTGTTGTTGCTCTTGTTGTTTCTGCCGCTCCTTCTGCAGCTGTCGACAGCAGCAGTAACGGCAGTAGCAGCAGCAACGGCAACTGCGGAGCGTTGGCAAAATTACTTCCTGCTCAAGCGTAAGCGGAAATGTACATACAAATGGCACTCACACAAACACACACACACAGACACACACGCACACAAAGCGACATTGGCAGAAAAGAAGTCGGATATGTTTGTGATTTTGTGTATGTGGATGTGGTATACTTTCATGCGGCATTATACACACATACTATACTTGTATGCACAGTAAAACATCATTTAGCAATACTTTTTCGATTTCAATTCGTTGTCGGCAGAACCTAAGGTTTCTATTTTCAATGATCAGCCTGAAGGCCTTCGTTGCTCTGGCTATACATATACTTTTTATATGCATCAAATTTTGTGATTTAGGATTAATTCTAAGTTACAAATGTTAAAATAAATAAATATTTTCAATGATAAAATTAATAAAATCTTTAAAAAAAAAATTGGCTCGTTTTTAAATATTTTTAGAATAATTTCATATTTTTCAGTATGGTACTGATACTGAGTGAGGTTTCAATTTAACACACCGCGAATATAATAAATACGGATATTTTTTTTTTTTTTGAAAATTAGAACAGAGGCTAGTACATTTTCTCATTCCTTACACTAATGAAATTTTAGGAATACATCTGGAAGCTATATAATTATTTATTTAATTAAATTTGAGTGTTATTACCATTTAAAAGCATTTGTGGGCATTCAAATAATACAAATCGGTGTAGTTCGATGAACTGACAAGTTAGCTTTTGCAAAGTCGAAAATTAAAAAACTTGTTTTGTGCCGACTATCCGTATTAAGGACGTCAATACACAAGAAGTGTAACAGCCCGAACCAACAATGTGTAAAAGTTTAAGGGTCATGGCATTTTTAATCGAAAAAACTACAATACATCTAGGGTCTAGGGTCACATTTAGGGTCATGAGTATAGCCCTCTCTGGAAGTCGAGGAGCGACACACGCACTGTGTTCTTCCCTCAACCTCTTTGTGCTTCTGGCTGGCGCCAAATACCAAAACATAAAACGCAAAGAGCATGGGGAGCCGAAAGACTACTGCCTTAGATTATAGATTTATGATATACTTGTAGGAAGTTTGCCTTGATAATTGAAGCCGCAACAGCGAATAACGCCAGGATCGTCCATGGGTTCTAATACAGACATATAGCAAGATATGCACTAACGCTTTAAGTGTTGGAAATTCATATCAAACAAGTAAAAAAGCTAAAATCGGGTGTCCCGACTTTGAAATACTCTGTACATATGTTTACAATAATTATAGAAAAAAAAAAAATAAATAAGAAAATTCAAAAAAATTAAACCAACTCGTATAGCGTACACACAGAAGGCATCTTTGTGCAAAATTTGGTGTCTCTAGCTCTTATAGTCTCTGAGATCTAGGTGATCATACGGACGGACGGACGGACAGACGGACAGACAGACAGACAGGGCTAGATCGATTTTAATTTTATTGTAAAGTAAATGCGTTGCTGCACCACTCACTTGTCGTCACATCTTTCCCAATACCTGCTTAGCTTTTGATGGCTTCGACTATCCTTGATTATAGTTGAGTACCCACCGTCGGCCACCTAAGGATATCCATCGCCTCCTGTTTGTGTTTCTTGAATCAGATATGGATGCCCTTTCGCACATTTTCCAAGCTCGCCTCCCGTTCTTGTTTCGTCTCTATGGCTCTAGATGTGGATGCCCTCTCGCAAATCTGCCGAAACCGCGACTCCCATTCTTGTTCGGTTCTATGGCTCTAGATGTAGAAATCCTTTGAAGAAGATCTTGAAAACGCGATTCGTGTTCTCCGACATTTTCAGTTGCCCTTTTTTCGCTCATCTTTTTTGATTTTGACGTTTTTTTTCTACCAGTTTTGCTTTTATTGGTAGAATTTTTTGAATTCGTTTTTAAAATTTATTTACGAATGAAACGCTGAAAATCAGATAAAAAAAGGATTGTCCAGCAAATGAAATAGAGCAGAAACAAACCAAAAAACGATGGTTGGTATTTTGAATATTGACACAAAATTTGATCAAAATCGGTTGAACGCTTTCGGAGTCTATAGGGAACATAATTACATACATACTTTCATTTTTATATACAAGTACATAGTATAGAAGATAGATAGTAGGTAATAAGTATTTATCCCATACACATGCAAGTAGTGACATTCTTAACCAAATGTGACTGTATGTGCAGGTTTGCTTGCCTTCGGGCAGGAGGGGGAGGGGGGACGGTTGCATGGTGGTTGGGCACTCACTTGTCAAAAACAAAATCAGACAAAAAGTGGCGCGGCGGCAACAAGATGCGTAATTGCAGCTGCTACCGCTTTCGACACTCGTCGCAGCTCCTTAAGCTGATGTGATGGGAAGGGGCGGGATGAGGTGGGGGGTTAAGGCTGAAAATGTCGCGACGTTGTTTATTGGTGTTGAGCTGCCTCTGCTGCTGCAGTTGTTGGCTTTTTGTTGTTTATCTTGTTGCTATTGTTTCTGCTGCATGCCATAAATCTTGCACAAAAAACAAAGACAAATGCAGAGGACATCGCAACACATCCTCCAGCTTAGTATGAAAAATATTTTATTAATTTGCGGACTCTCAAGTTGTTTTCTGTTTTTATTTTTATTGCAGCTTTCCCCGCGCATTCGTTGCAATGTAGCACAGTTCCCTGTCGTTACGCTAGACACCAGAGCTGAGGGAGCGGCACCTAGTCTAAAATGGTGGAATCATCGAGTTTGGGACGCGCACCGCCCGCCGCGCAACAGTCGATTCCCATGCCTCAGCACTCATCGTCGCCGTCGGGCATGCGGTGTGGGAATTTGGAGACGCGTGTTCGTGGCGCCTGGTACCGTGTGCTGGTCACATTGGAAACGGACTTTCTGGCCATCAGCCTGGACGAGAGCTGCGAAGCGGCACAGCCGGTTGATGGTCAATCCACCACCTTGAATGGAACGCTGGGGTAAGTGCTATTGGAAATAAATCATTTTTTAAAAGCGTAATATACTTGTATATTTTATGTTCTTAAAATATACAAGTATATTCTTATTCTTAATCAAGCTTTATGTGTTTTTTTTTTACACTGTCGATTGTTGTTTAACTTTTAAGTAGAAAAGGCTAAGCTGCCTATACTCTGAACATTAAGATATCTTTACCCCACTTGTAAGTTCATAATGTTCTTAAAACATCTTAATGAATAATGGTTAAGAAACTCAAACTGTGTTTTACAAAGCTAACTGGGCCTGGATATTTTCTAATAACTAATTTATTAAAAATTTAATTTTTCAATTTGCAGCAGCAACCACAGTGGTGGTGGTGGCGGCAGCGGCGGCGGTCAGAATGGGTCGTTGCCCAATTCCGCGTCAATGCAGGGCATGAATAGCAGCAGTGGAAGCGCTGCACTGCAGGATACGGACCTGGAAAGCTCCACCACCAACGACAATGGCGGCGACCACTTGCTGAACAACAACAACAATAGCTCGGACAGTGGCGGCATGGACATGTGCGACGTACCTGATCATGTGGCAAATCAAAAGCGCCACGTGCGCATCATCAAGTCGGACAATAACGGGCTGGGCATCTCGATAAAGGGCGGTCGCGAGAATCGCATGCCCATACTCATATCGAAGATATTTCGCGGCATGGCCGCCGATCAGGCCAAGGGTCTCTATGTGGGCGATGCCATACTCACCGTCAATGGCGAGGAGTTGCGCGATGCAACGCACGACGAGGCGGTGCGTGCCCTGAAGCGTGCCGGTCGTGTGGTCGACCTGGAAGGTAAGTAACCCACAATAAAAGCCTCTCTCGACACTAAGCTGCAAAAAACAACGAACCAATCTAACCCTGTCAAATGCTGACGCTGATGCTTCTGCTCAGCACGGGATAACGTTGTTATTTGCTTAAAACATTTGCGCACACAGATTGTCCAGGGCACTCGGCCAGCGAGGCAAACTTGCAAATGACTGTCCCACTTAACCCTAGCCCTAGCCCTAGCCCTCACCTCGACAAACTGGGAATGCACAGAAAAAGCCGAAAAATACGTGAGCGCGAACAGTCGAGAAGGCAAGCGACCACGAAATACCCTTACTAGGGATTCAAATTGAAATACCATTTTAAACAAAATTTACTTCGACCCCTTTTTAAATATTTATTCCAAAGCAAGGAGGTAGTTCGAAGCATCCTAATAAATCTGAAACTAATAAAAATGATTTGATAATTTTGTTATCTTCAGTCACCGATAACTTTTCAATGCTATGCGAATATTCCTGCAATATACATCCACTCGCGCTCATAAAAAAGCCGATTTTATTTTGCAATGCTGTCATCTTATCCATTGCAAAAAAAACATTGTAAAATGTAAATATTTTGTTCAAACTATATATTGTTGAAGTGACTTAACAAGACTTTTCAGTTCTGCAAATAATATTATTATTTTGAAAGATTTTATTTCATGACGAAATGAGTACGAAAACTTTATTCCTATGGTAATTTTAACGGTGAAACAAAGGATTTTTAAATTGCAGTTATTACTTGTCTCTCATTTTATATCAGTTTCTGTAGTCAATTAAGCATGCTTCTGTATAATTTTCTTAATAATTCCGCAGAAATTTCATTATATCTAGTAAACTCAATTAATTATAAAATATTATAGGGCTTATAATAGAGTATTTTTCGCTTCATATTGGACCAAACATTCCGAATAGGGCCATTTCCAGGCCAAAAAAGGGACTTTATACCTAAAATATTTTTAAATTCCTTAACCTACGCCAAGAAAAATAGTTAATTAGTGATCAAAATGTTTGGAAAATTTGAAACTTGCACATACATACCCGTATATACTCCATAGCGGATCTGCAGAAGATAATCTGTTTATATTTAACATTTATGTTAGCAAATCAATCGCTATTTGTGCTCTCCTTAAAGTTGTCGTTCCATTATCAAGTTATCAAAGTATTAATCTCTCACAATTTTATATATCTTCAAGGATAATAATATTTGCATTTGTCAAGCCCCTACTCTCAAGGATATACATATTTAGTTGTAGTTAGCTCATCTACCTTCAGAGATATCGCTGGTTAACTGGCATTTTATTTGGGTCTGACATACACTTCTACTCAGTTAATGTACTAAGTATTTTATGACTTATTCGGGCATAGAGTATAGAAAGTCAGAGCAGTGGCAGTGGCAAGGCTTAAAAATGCGCCATTGAGCGAGTGAAACTAACAAGCAAACTATGTGCACAGCTTCTGTAGTGGATACTAGGGATATGAGTGGGTGTTAGCAGTGTGATGGCTGTGTGGGGGACAGGGAGGGTGCGTTGTCAAAATACGTGGGATTACTTGGCGAAAACATACGAGCTACTCTGCCACTCAGCTCGTGGTCACGACAGCAGCTGCATACTGTTATAAATTCGCATACAGGAGTTCAGCTAACCCCACTATCCATATATACTCGCCTCGAGTGAAGCCCTGTCGGCCCCTTTCAAGAACCATGTGACTCTTGGCTGTTGACTGCCGTTAGTTGCTCTTATTTGTAGCTTCGTTTGTTCGTTTGTTTGTTTGCTTTGCAATAGCTTCACTTGGCAATGAGTAATGAGAAAAGTTTTCTTTCCATTTGATCAAAGAGGCCAAAATAGATAGAAGCCAAGGACGTGGTAGGTGGCTGACCAGCTGCCTGTAAAATGCCTGCTTCGTACTACATTTTCATCAGCTCGAGTGGCTGGTCGAGCAAAGAAACACGACTACATACATACTCTCATACTCGTACATAGCATAAATAGTGGTGGGCGACACCAATGACCGGGCGTTTGCCTCACTTCAAGGATGGTTTCATTGCCGGAGCGGTACGGAGTCGGCAGGTTAAAAGGGGAAGCATAAACAGTAATGCACTGAAGCATTCCCGACGATGTCATTGTTAAAACGTCCTGTGGAATCTGCCATGGCACTACCCCTTATTATCGTAAACTGTCATTTTCTTTCAATCTCTTTCGTCACAACAGATTTTGAGATATAAATATACTCATGAACTATTTGGTTTAGACGACTGATTAAAAATCTTCAGGACAACACTAACCTACCGTATGTAAATTAGTCATGTCTTCTTCAATTCGCTCAATTAACCAGCTATGAATAGGTCATTTCCGGTACCTCAATTGGTTCCCAGCCCTTAAGTATGCAACAGTTTTTAAACTGTAACAAGCATTTTATTTCATTGCAATTTCCCTTTGATTTCACAACTCCATGCCTCGCTTTTAGATCCTGCGCAAGCGTTCGCTGCGTATCCGGCCACTTCGCTGCCATTGCATCTGTGGAACAGCGAGGACCAGACGTCCGAACTGACCACCCGCAGCATCCAATGGCAGCAGAATCAAACGACCGCTCGTCAAACCCTCACCCAGGGCCGACTCTTCCAACTCGCTCACCAGCTCCACCTGCGAGGCTTCAAGCTCGCTCTCAGGCTCTTCGACATCCGATTCCGTGGCAGGTGTCAGTTCGGGTGCTCCATAAGTCGACGCTGGCCTTGACTGTGCCTTGGCATTGGTGGCGGGTGCTCCGTATGTGCTGGCTGGCGTAATTCCCGCATTTCCGTTCAATTCCAATTCGTTTGGCGTCACCTCGGCCTGTAGATCGAGCTCACTGCCGCGGGATGGCGTCAGAGATGGCGTTGCGGCCGCGTCAGCAGCAGGAAGATCAGCAACAGGCTGCAGCTCATCAGCACCGTTAGCAGCTGCAGGAAGGGCGGCAAAATCGTCGATCGCATCCTGGGTGGGTGGCTGAAACTCTTTCGATGGCGCTTGGGCCACCACCTCAATGGTGTCCACATCTTCTACGGAGTTGGGCTGCTCTGGTTTTGGTTGCTGTGGAGCTCCATAGGTATTGGCAGGCGTGCGCAAGCTAACTTCCTTATCCTGATTTTCCACCTCGGTGATACTTAATCCAAAATCTTCAACAATGCTGGGCGTGGTAGGCTGGCTGGTAGTCGTCGTGAGTGGTTCTACTTCGGCCTCAATGGGGTTTACCTTAGGCTGTCGCTCCCCGGGCAACTCGAATGCTATTTTTGGTCTGAAGCCTGCTGCCGGATAAGGCGTGCTGAGCTCTACTTGGCGCTGGGATTTCAAACGCCGCTGGGGCATTGCGTCCACCATACTGGTTAGGGCCAAGAGTACGACAAGTAGCGGCAGCAGCCGTGCTCTGTTGTTGTTGTTATTGGCCATGTTGTTCATAGTTCGACTACTGCTAACGGTATGTGACTAGTGCCTGGGATGCCCTCGGCTTTATATCAGACCTGTACTGCCCCTTTTTGCCATATTCGCATTCTGCATCAGAATTCAGTAACGGTCGCAAGGTCAGTAGCGACGGAGACGTCGACTTGGTAGTCATTTGCGTGATAACTCTTTTAATCTCAATGCAATATTCGCACACTCAGCTCCGAAAGCCACAGTAAAAATCGCCAACCGTCAACCGTTCAATGTTAATGTCACTTTAAAAACGCAACTTTGGGGCGCCAGCTGCCGCTTACTCTCTGCGCCCCGACTGCGAAATAGAGCTGTTCAGCTTACGGATCTGGATCAATTTTCGATCAGGGTAATGGCACCATTTTGAGTTCGACTAAGATCATCTTCAATTTAAACGGTTTTTGAAACATTTCTACACTACAATGTAGGCTTGCTCAGAAATAAGAAATGAAAATCAACTAAATGTAATTGCCTCTTAAGGAAAATTTAAACCATAATTCGAAAAGGCTAAACTGATACTCAGATAGATAAAGGCTCTTTCAATTCTGTTACAGTAATTAATTTTATTCAAAACAGTCGTCAACCTGCAATCTTCATCATGAGCTGGGGTATTTTGTTATTTCGATCAGTTGTTTGTATTAAATATAAATTCAAATTGTTAAGGTTAATCATTGAATTAAATAGAAATGGGAACCAAAAGGGAACAAGTGAATAAAGAAGTCATTGAATAACTTTCATTTCAATGTTGTGATAGATTTACTCGTTCATTTTGTTTCATTTAGATGGTCTATGAACAGAGCCAGTTCACATTAAACGGACTGTGAGCTTAGACTGCCACACCACAGCCTTATACCCTAGGCCCCAGCACGTCTTCAGAGTCGTCGGCGGCGTCATCCATGGCGTCAGCTGCGTGTCATGCCAAGCACGTCGCCCTGCCTCGATTTTAATTTGAGAAGCGCACATTTCGATTGCTGTTTATTTTATTATTATTTTGTTTGTTGTTGTTGTTGTTGTTGCTGGCCCAGATTGGCTCCGAAATACACGCAATCAAGACAAAAATTGAGTCAATGTCTGGGCATTTTCATAATAATAACTGCAGTGGGCGCGTCTGCATTACATTCAAGTGTGCTGGCCCAGATTTATGAGCACGTTGAATGCTAAAGAGCTACCCAGAGAGCCAGCCAACTAATGGCCAACTGCAGCAGTCGAACTTCAATTTACAACTTGGCCAAGATTTGCAGCGTCCCAGTAACTACGCACAAGTTGTGCCTGACAGACGCCGCCATCTTATTTAACGCTCATTGTAATTTAAATAAGCCCGCTGGCTGGGCAGTTACGTGGGCGGTCAAAACTTTGCGGCCAGTTGTGGAAATCCAGCAGCCAACTGCCAAATGTCAACGACAGATTTCGCCATCGCCGTTGCCGTTGCCGTCGCCAAGCAAACCATACAAAGCAGTGAAAGAACAAGAAGAAACAGCGGCACCGGCAGCAGATGAACGCAATGAGGCGTTGTGCGACAAGTCCTGGCTACCAAACGTCCATTAGCAATGGTTTTTACAGTATGGCACACTTTTGCTGGCATGCCAACCACTCGACTCACATAGCTCCGGTACTCTTACCTCCTCCATCTTTTGCCTTGCCTTACCGCTGTCCAACTAGCAGAGAACAAACTTTTCGCAAAGTTTTAACGCACGATTTGCGAGCTGCGCCTGGTGTTGATATCATCCTCTTCCTGCCCATATTGTTCCTCGTCCGCTACACCTACGGCCTTCTGCCCTCTGCCTACTGCCACGCCCAGCGCACTGCCAACGTGTGACTTCTTCGGTTGCCAAGGTGTAAAAAGTTAACTCTGTTTTAGCTGCTCCTTCCCTGCCAGCAAATTTGGCATAACTTTCGGCTGCTTTGGCTCAGACAAACGTTGCGCCATGTCAGAGCCAGCCTCCGATGTGGCTAGGGATGGGATTATAATATTCCCGCTTTTCGGTGAAGACCTGTAATGGCTTTTACGATTTCCACATGACTTCCGTTTCCCGACAAACTTCGATTTGAATAGAAATGTGAGCAGAGGGGAGGTACTGATTTAAAAGCGCACCTTTCATGCTTTAGAGACAAACAAAATTTATTTCAAACCTAAAACTTATCTTCAAAACTAAAATGGGTGTCCCGAAGGAAATCAATAAACTCTCCCTGGAATTGGGAGAACGTTCATATACTTTTTTTGTGACTCGATCTTTTATACACACTTTCAGAAATCCTTGCAAATATTCAGATAGGCATCCACTTCATTGATTTAAAATAACGATTTCATAATATTCCTTTATCCTTCGAACATAGAATATGAAAATATTAAACATTAAATCTTACCAGAAAGATTCAATTCTCACAATCGTAGGAAGCTCTATTCAGGCGCTTTAGCAATTACTGAATATACTCAAATATGTATTTACTTTTTTAAACAATTTGAATCCATTTTCTGGCACATCACGGCTCGTTTCCATCTCCAGTTCTAGGCAAAGCTGGATTGGAGTTCTCTATCCGCTTTTGTCTCTTCGCCTACTGCTTAGCGTTGATTTATTTTTTCAGAAGTTTCTCTTTATTTATTTATTTTTTCAACTTTATTTACACTTAAATGCAAAATTTACACAAGTTATTACTGTTGTTGTCTCTAAACTTTTGCGCTGCATTTGTTTGCTTGTTGCTTGCTTGGTTTGTTGTTTTGTGTCTCCCTCGCCCCCACATCCTCGTCCTGCCTCGCATGGTCCAGAAGCTGTGACCTATGTATGTATATATGTATGTATGTGCGCGTATGTACTATGCCCGCCGCTATGCAACAATTTTTGTGCTGTCCTGTTTATTTACTCGCCTGTCGGTTGCATATGCAAATGTAAATGTTTGCACACTGAGCCCTTCTGTAAAAATTGCAGAACTGAGCCCCTGCAGTGTCCCTAAATGCCGAACAATCAGCGAGCATGCCTCCGAAGCGCTCTGATCTGCTCTAATTAGTTGCGTGCAAACACACACACACACACACACACACGCGCAAATTGAGTTGCAAGTCTTATACTACACGTTTATTTGTGGTGCGGTCGAACTTCTCTAAAGCGAATAGCCGAATCAAAATTCACTTGAGAACAGTGAACTAAATCAAGTGAACCAATTCCCAATAAAAACCTCTATCGTATCGTACAAGTAATAATAATGCAATGTAAAAAAAAGAAAAAAATGAAAATTATTAATTACTTATTAAAATAAATAGAAAAAAGTATCCGGAAATACGCCCCGAAATCTGATAACTGCTTTCACACCATTATCTTCATAGCTTACAACTAAGTAGTACGCGGGTTTGTTGTTTGTGAACATCTGAAAAGTAATGTCGATTTTTAAAATGTCCAAAATTATTCAAGTTACTTTTTGTTTGAAGAATGGAACTTCTGAGGCCGAAACGTTAAGATTCTTACAGAATTTCGGATATATCATAAACACGTGCTCTTCTGAATTAGCTGCGTGAGACTTCTGGCTATTTGATAAATTAAAAACTTATCGTTTTGATACTGAAAAGATTAAAGTTAAATCGACAAAGGTACTCGAAACCGCGTTTTCATATGTGCATTGCATCTGGAGGGGGTCACTTTGATGGAGTTTCAAATTATTTTGATAGGCAAATAATGATTTTGAAAGTTATAATCAACTTCCGGCTATTTCTTGCACACAGTAGTATGTATTTCTCGGTTGTATTGAAAGGATTGAAATTCAGTTTTTTATTATATCAATAAATAATAATTGGATTCTATCAAGCGTAATTCTTGGAATCCTTTCTACCTACAGTATTATAAAATATTCGTTATAGAGGAGTGTGACTGCATACCTTTGGGCGTACATGTACATACTCGTATAGTATACGAATATGTATGTTTGTGCGAATGCCGCAATGTTATGGCTGCTAGGCGGCATTAGGTGTGAAAATTGAATTTCCAAATCACTCGACGACGTCGACGACGACGACGACAACGGTTGGAACGACAACATCGTCGCCATTGGGCCCGGAAATGTGCAAATGCGGCAAAGTGTGGGTGGTTGTCTCTGGTTCTCCCCATACTACTATAGATCCCTGTGCCTGTTGCCAGCAGTTTCGAGTACAAATCGAATAAAAATGGAGCGGAAATTCTAATGAATTTATGCCGCAACGTTTGCTTTTGACGATACCTGATTGAATGCCGCCCCAGTATTCAGTTGCAGCCCTCCCCCAGATTCATCGCATCGCATAAATATTCATGTGCTCATGTCTCAACTGCTGTCTCCGATTCTATTTCTAGTGAAATTTCTACGCGAGGTGACGCCCTACTTCCGCAAGGCAAGCATCATTTCAGAGGTGGGCTGGGAACTGCAACGCGCCTTCCTCTGCCCGCTGGGCCCGGGAGCACCCACATCGCCCCCCGCGCCCAAAACAACACCGCGTGCCGACACGCGTTACATTCCCCTGCAGTTGACGCATTTGGCGCGCAACCTCAAGTACATCGATCCCGGTAAGTTTGGCAAAGTTCGAGACTCAGAGAGAGCCTGCAAATTAACTAGTTATCCGTACTTCATCTGATTGTGCCTGCAGAGAACCGCTGCCTGGAGCTGCACTCCCCGGATGGCGTGCACTCGTGCATACTACGCGCCTCCGACTCGGCGGATGCTCTGGTCTGGTTCAATGCTCTGCACTCTGCCATGTGTGGCAGCACGCAACGTGCCCTGGTCGAAGCCAATCGTGCGCTCATGAATCTCATAGGTGAGCTCAAGCATATTGGCTGGCTGAGCAGGCGATTGCACGGCAGTGGCGGAGGTGCAGGGGCGGGCGGCATCGCAAACAGTGGCAGTGGAGCAGCAAGCGGCGGCAGTGGTGGCACCTCCAACAGCGGTGGTGCACCCGGCGAACTAGTAAGTCCTTCAACTTACCCATTTGGACTCAACTGATTGCTTAACGACTTTTATAGCCCAGCGGTCGATCCAGCTCGGAGAGTTCCGATGAGAGCGACAAATGGCAACCGGTTTTTGTGGCCGTCACCGAACGTGAGTTTCGCATTTACGAGAGCGCGCCCTGGTCTGTGGAGGCCTGGAGTCGTCCACTGGAAAGCTTTGCCTTGGCTACCACGCGCTTAGCAGGAGCGGGCAACAACTCCTCCTTGAATGTAAGCTCTAGTTTATTCAAGGAATGGTCTTAGGCATACCTAAATACATATTCCGACTGCATTTATTACAACATTACATTTCTGTTTTTACACGGTAGATTATTTCCAGAAACAACCTTTTAAAAATAGACATTGATTATATGCAAAAATAGGTGATTGGTTCTTATCTCTAAAGAAATATAAATGAAATTCTTAATTTTCAAACCGTGTTACATAAAAAAATCGTGTAAAAAATGGATTGCGTGTAATTGCTTTTTTGAGACATGCATGTCTGTCTGTCCGTCCGTCTGTATGTTCGAATGATAACCGAGAATTTTGAAAGCATAACAGCTAAGCACAATTAAGCTGGTCAATCATAAACAACGAATTCTGTGTGAATATATCATAGGATCGCTTAAGGAGGGAACATCGAATACAAGAGTCGTTATACTTGCTAACACTAAAATTTATTTAGCTCTGGTTAGAAGCAGTAACTAGCTGATTCTCAAGCCTGCGAAAAAAGTGTCCAGTCTTGAGTTATTTACTTAATTAGCTTCTGTTTCCGTTCAGAATTGTATATACTATTATAATAGATTATTTCAAAGATTAATTTTTACATATTTTGGGTTTTTTTTAAATATATTTATGGAAGGAATCGGACGGGAACTTTGGAAATAAGAAAAAAGTTATCTATTATACGGACGCCAAAATTAACAGATGTACAAAAAAACACAAATGCTTACAATTAGAATCTTATCCTAGTAAGTTAGCTGGCCGAGTAGCTCAACGGGTCAGCGGAAATTAACACAATGTGAGTTTGTTCCAGAGTTGGTTTTACAATTGTCCAACACAGGAGAGATCTCTAATAATGAATAGCACGGAAAAGTAATCACCAAAATGTTTTTGTTGTGCATGATAGCATTATACTTGTATGTTGCATAATTGGATAGATTGCGCTCAATATCGGCCACGAGACGGTTCTTAATATTTATTTCTTTTCAGGGACAGCAGACGACCGTCTTCTGTGTGCGCTGCGGAACCACGCGGGGTGTTCTAGTATTCTGGCTGCGCTCGGAGACGCATCGGGATATGGCAGCTTGGGCTCGGTCCCTGGTCCAGGGCTCCCACAATGCGGTCAACTATCAGCGGGAGTTCAGCTTTCGCTGCCTCTACCAGGGACGGCAGTGTCAATTGGTTGTGCACATAAATCGTGGCTTCTTTCTGTATGACTGCGGCAGCTTTTCCACATCGACGCCAACGGCTGCTGTGGCCAGCAAGACGCAACTGTGGCAGTTCGCCTTCGATAAGCTCAAGGGATCGGCGGATGATGGATCGCGCATGTTGTATTTGGATTTTGGGGACGATGGTGAAATTGTGAGTTGCTCCAGCTGCAGAGTAATATGACTAGTCGACTCAAATCTTGAACTATTTGCAGGAACTGGACATGGAGTGCTGCCCCAAGCCAGTTGTGTTTGTGGTACACAATTGTCTCTCGGCCAAGGTGCATTCCATTGCTTAGGCTGAGTCGCTGAAAACCGTTTGTACTGCATACCAAACAACAACAACAACAACATACCTGCTTACCAAAATACGACTATAAATACTTACAAAGGGCAAGGGCAGAGGCTGCATATGGTATGTCAGGGCGGGCTTCCCGGTGGCAAGTTTAGTAAAACGAATTGGATTTACCGAGAGGCCGGCCAACACAAACACAAGCACAAATCAAACACTCACACACACACACACACACACACAGAAATTAAAATACATATACACACAGATTTACATTGTAAGTAGGCGTAATTTCTTTTATACGTGTGTCAGTTGCGATATTAAGACATCCACATCATATACATACTTTACATATACATTACATATACGGAACAATAATTATCATAATTGTACTTGTACTTACTAATTGTATCTTGTATCTAAACGAAACACACATATCTCTTAATATTAGGCGCATGCCCTACTCGAATACATACTCGTATTACCGATATCATCCAAAAACACATCATTATGCCTAAGATGCAATGCATGGAAACATTTTAAACCGATCCTCTTCTGCGCATAGTCTTGCATCTGAACCTCCGAACGATCATGTGCAATTATTATACGGTATGTACATATACATACAAACACGGCACATACTCGTATATACTTGTATTCATTTCATGAAATTAGGAATTTCGTTAAAAAACCAAATAGAGATCATTACAAACTAAAGACGTACAATATAATGCATAATAATAACACTAATAATATTTCTAACGTAAGTAGTGTTGAATCTTCGATAATAAACTACATATAATAAAAATAATTGCGAAAATTTTGTTGAATTCCTTTGGCTTGCCGTATGAAAAGTAGGGTGTCGGCTTGAATTCGCCACTAGATACAGAAATTTAAAATTAAAAACATTAGTCTTATTTCCAGGTATATTAAAGAAATAATATTCAAATCTTGATGATACGGTTTCAGTTTTTTTTTTTATTTATTAGGTGGAGAGTACTGCAAAATTGATCCCGTTATAAGTAATTCGTTTTGGTAAATATACATTCGATTCACGTCACGTAGTTTCAAGCAGGAATTTAAAACACTCAAAGGGAATATATACAGTTGCCCTCAAGCAGACAGCTCTTTAAGGTTTGATATAGTTCTCTTTGGTATTTCACAAATCTAAATAGGAAATGTAAATGTAGGATAGAATAAGAATCGAATGTTGCTGTCGAGCGGGCCCAACTACACTGTACCCACTCACAAAAAAAATGTTTAATTTAACAGAGACATGGCTATATCGACTCGTATTGTCCTCCTCATCGGGAATATATGTATATATACAGGGTGCGCCATCTTTTATGTCGGTATGTAAATATTGAATAACTTTGTCATTAGTGAACCGATTGACTTGAGTAGACCAGTGTTGAAAACCTCAGTTCAAGAAATTGTACAGAACCAAATTAAATAAAAATATCTCTTACTTGAAAATCGGTTGTTTATTTTCAAAGAATTTCAATGTTTACATACCGACATAAAAGATGGCGCACCCTGTATTTTGGGGGTCGAACACCCCATCTTTGTGCAAAGGGCTTAAAAAGTATACGTTGATCAATCTATAACAATGGGGTGCAAAACAAACTACTTATCATGATAGCACTATAAAGTCATAAAAAATGTGGTCTTAATATTGGAATTACGAATTACTTTAAAAACCTGTAAATGCTTTAAATTTGTGTAGTCAATATTTATTAATTCTGGCGAGATCAAGCCTTGGATTAACTGATTGAACTTTTTTGTTCTTAACTAACGACTTTAAAACATATCGGCTACGTGACGATTTGCATCCAGGTGCTTTTATTATTGGCAGCTAATTAACAACCTGGTAATGACTATGATTGACTCAAACGTGCATTACACACATTCTTACAGATGTGTGTGCATATGTGTGTAACTATGAGCACGCACACACATATATATTTATTTCAATTTTATCATTTCCCACTTAAGACGAAAACAAAGTCACCAACTACGTGCCCAGCATTTCAGCAGACAACAGCGAGCAACTAACTTTGCTCATCAAAAAGTTAAACCGCTCTGCCGGTCGGTACACTCGACAACACAAACAAGCCCCACTTCCCCCACACCACCACATTCGCAGGTGTGCATGTGAGTGCAAAACTAAACTCGAAAATGTGAGATGTCGTTTGGACTCGTGTGCTGACCATCGTTGCGGTCAGCATTGAGGTCTAAGGTGTAACGAACGGGAGCCGCCTTTGGCCTCAATATCTTGGGCCGGGGCCGACAAAGCACACACACCCGCACTCTAGTCACACACAGAAACACACACACACACACACCCACATACGAGCAATTACATTTCCGGATGGTCGGGCGGAGGCATGCGGAAGAGCTTGACTCGACGGGCAACTGGCCGCTCAGGGTTAAAATTATGACAAGTGCTGGCGGGGGTTTTTGGCGCCCCAACGTGGAAACTGCTATAAATATGCGCCAGCGGAAAACATCGACGCTTAGTAGCACAGTTAAACAGTAAACAGACAGACACCCCTCCACCCACATTATAAAAAAGAAGAAGGACCAGGAGGACCATGTTGAAAGAGTTAGGCATATATTTGGCGCTCCTCGCATGCATGGCCGCAGGTGAAGCGGCCGTTTTGCGCAAGGAGCAACCAACCACTGTTGTAACCACATTGGAAGAGACAACCGGGAAGGCAGAAGAAGCTGCAATGGACAGCACAACGATTGCTCCCAAATTCCACCGCGTACCGCTCAGTCGCGATGAGCAGGCCAGCATACAAATTGGCTTGGCCACTGTGGAGCCTTCTAAGCCCGATTCCGCTCCGACTCAACACACCTCAAACATAGGCAACCACAACAGTCCCCAACAAAAGTCAGCCAAGCTGTTGCTGCTTAGCACGCCGCCAAAACGTTTCATTGAGGTCGAGCAGCAAGTGGAGGAGCAGGACGAAGCTGATGACAATGTGAGAGGAGGGACGATGGCAACAGCTACATCGGAGGCTACAACGATGGGCAGTGTAGACAGTGAGGAGACAACCATAAGCAGCACCACCGAGCCAGAAACCACAGAGATGGGCGACATCAAGACAACGAAATTGTTTGCCATCAATGCGACCTCATTGCCCGACACCCCCGCACCCACCGTCGCCGTGGCCCTGGCCAAGGACAATACCACAATTGCAATTGCCGAGCAGCCGCAGGATGCACGCGGCAACAATGTGGCCGTGGCTGTTACTCTAGTCGAAGACGAGCCCGAGGCCGAGTACGTGCTGCTTAATGGCGCCGATGTGCTGGTGGACGAGGAGGGGCATGAGGTGCATTTAGGAAGCTTCACGCACATTGGCAGCGATGAGCATCTGCAGCCGGTGGTCCATTCCATTGAAATTGTGCCCACCAGCTTCGATGATCCCCTGCTCGTCGACTATGTGCACGCTTTGGTCTAACACCGAACGTCTTGTAGTTGAAGCTTGTTATTCTCATTAAGTCTTGTTATTGTTTTCATTGTTGTTTTTGACTGAAAAGACAACACTCCGAATATTTTATTATAATTAATTTGAAAAATAGATGCAAAATAGCAAAAGCGATGGGTGCGTTCTCGTCTTCGAAAATGTAAGAACAACCAATTCCCCACCAGATGACTCACACATCAGTTGTTGCTGCCACTGATAACCAAAGCCAAGTTCAATGTGCGACCCCGACCAGACCTTCCCTGTCTGTAAAATACTCTTTCGTTCACGCTTCATTTTTCGGAATCTCGATTGTGATTCCAACTTCGTTTATTTTGCTAAAATTGCTAATTATGTATTTGCGAAAACAAATAGAATTCTAAAGGTATAGAGTTTTCAAAGCCTTCCTGTAAATTAGGCCGGAAGGGATTCTAATGTTAATTTAAATTCAAGAAAAGCAAAAATAATGTAATATGTGGGCCCAATAAGGAGTATTTGAGTTAATTATGCCTAATAAGTGTACACAATTATGTAGACAAACAACGCACTCGTATGCTCCAAGCGACTCTTATTTTCAGGGACCGCAAATAATGATTACTTTGTTTTTTTAAAGCTAAAAAATCATTCACCTATAGCAGCTTTGAGAAAACGACGAATGTACCAATATCCTTATTTTAGGCTTATCATGCATACTTACCACGATTTTAATTTAATTTTCTTTCTTTTACAATATAGTGATTTATTTTGAGTTATACTTTACAACTCAACCAATAAGCATTGTTCTTAAGAAAAAAAATAAAACTCAAAATAACTTCTTTTTATCAAAAATAAAACTCAAGTTGTAATTGTCCCTGCCTTTTTCATAGCTAATAATGACATTTATATATATCCTCCAAGAGAAACTGAGAGTGTTTAAGTTTAAGTAAAGTTTTGGGTTAAAAAAACATTCTTATAAAAATATTTTCAGGCAAAATTACAGCTTCAGTTTTATATTAAATAAAAATAAAAATTTAAAAATAATCATTATTATATGAATTTTATTTTTTTGCCCGAAAATAATGATTTTTGGTTGAGTTGTAAAGTATAACTCGTTATATTGAATAATATTGAAATATACTCAATATTTTGTAATTTTTATAATAACACTTATTAATTACAGTCCGTTCTTATTTTCAATCGGAACAATCATCTACGAATTATGTATTATCGTAATACATGTACACAGTTTGTGAAGTGTATAGAGCAGTACGCGTAATTTAATTTGAATTATTTGGCTTGTTATAGCTCAAAGTTGCACCCCAACCCACGTACCACATCGTACACATGCCACTCACGTTTCACGCTTGACTTTGCACATCCGCACGTTAACTTTAATACGCATACGCCATGTATGACGGCTGGGGCCTCCAGCATACTCGTAGCTAGAAAACTGTTATTGTTTCCCTGCTAGCCAAAAACAACAATACCAATAACACCAACAATAGGCATAGAGAGTGGAAACGTGCTGCAGCACATCCCGCGTTAAGAATTCCGTCAGAGGTGAAAGTGAAAGACGACAGGTTTTTGGAGAATAATTTAATGCAAATGCTCAGTTGTATAAAATAAATCATTGAAACCATTGTCCCACAATCCTCACCAACGTTGCTCCACATGCGTGGCATATGCGAAGCCTCGAGTCGGTGGTGCTGCGATTAATCGTTGGGAACGTAGAGGAATAGCGACCGGGATTCGGTTCGGCGCACGGGCAACAAGGACAGCCGGTCCCACATTGGCTGTGAACAGCACGCTCTCTGAATCGGGTTCCGGGCCGGTCTGAGGTTCGGGTGTAGGCTTCAGAGGATTGGTGCTGACACCACACACGGGATTCTTACTGTTGTCAGTGGCTGGGACGCTGTCATTGCCGCTGGCCGCCTCTGATTGATCCAATTCGGTGGGCAGCCTAAAGGCCCGACTGGGTCTGAAGCCAGCTGGAGGATAGGGTGCTCTCACATAGGCGCGTCCGGCACGTGAATCCAACACTGGCGCTTCAGTGCTCGTGGTCGTGGTCTCCACCTCTGCTTCTGGGGTCACATCTGTTGTCGTGGTGCTCCATTCGAGTGTCGCGTCTGTTGTGGTGCTGGTCACATCCAGTGGTTGCTCTGTCGTTTCGGCCAATTGCCAGCCGGATACGTTACTTTGCTCTGGAGCAGCTGCAGAGTCCGCTTCGCCAGGCAGCCAGAAAGCACGTCCTGCTGGTCTATAGCCCGCTGCTGGATAAGGCGTGGGCTGCACCTCTCTAACTGTAGCCGGAACAGCCGCTTCGTCCTCCTGCACGCTGGCGGAGTACCGATTAATGCGTATCTGACGCGCCTCGTTGGGAGTTGCTGCTGCCAATAGACAACCAATAATCCAAAGGCCCCATTGCCACCGATTGCTATGATTTTTGCTGCTGTACATCTCGCCCGATAAAAAACCCAACTGAGTTGCGTTCTGAACGTCGTCGGCGTTTTTATATGCCAGTGTTCTGTTCCTCTAAGGTCGTTCGCGTCGCCAACGAAAGCGAGAGTCACAGCTCATTCCCAGCCCCACACTCGGATCGATCGAGACGTATCCCCGACCGCCTGGCTTTTGATATCGACAAAATTATAGACATGAGACATCATTAGGCGCACGGTTATCACATTTAATGATTTATTTTTTTCAATGTAGTATTTGCTTCTCGTGGCCATTCGTATTATCCACGTTTACTTGGACATCCACGTCCGATTCATCGCAATGTTCTATGAAAATTAAATACGTTTCGGACGTGAGTCGCAAGTAAATCGAGCAGTTCCTCAGTTTATCGGCTCTTCACTTCGGTTGAAAGCGAAAACTTTTTGTCAATTGCATCAAGCATCAACATTAGAATATTTATTGAATATATGTGCATATACAACACTTTTGCGACCAATGACTGAAGGGATGCCGGAGGTTTTAGGTGAAGGCCACATTCAATTAAATGGCTTTAAAAATTCTCCGATTTAACACTTACTTTCTTATACACATCAGAAAACGTGTAAGTTTCGAAAACAAAAACGTGTTTGTCATCTTAGAAGTGAAATACAAAATGTATTTATAAAGGTTAGTGAATATGACGGTACTTTTTTATATAAATCTGTCACCAATATAAGAGCTTAAATCAGGTAATGCTAATTTAAGAATCCTGTATTTTCAATAGTTCGATTTGTATTCAGTATTAAGAAAAGCTACACTACAGAAGAAAGTATAAATTTTGTAGAAGTATATCATAATTTGTACGGAGTGTTTTTCCAGCGTATTGTTCTTCCATCCTATAAATGCTATAAGTTATAGTGTATCTTAATTTTTGAATATTCTGTTACTAACTATTGATTGTTTCTGTGGTAACAACATAAGTATATAATGTAATAGGTCTGCATATAGTTTTGAATATGGGGGCTGTTTTACATGACCAGTTTATAGCCCCTTTCTTTTATGTTAAACAAGAAAGGAATGCTAAAGTCGAGCAGGCTCAACTCTTAAATACCCTGTACCACCCCACAAAAAAGTAATTAAATTAACTAAATTAAATATAAAATATTCCATACATGCATACATACATTTCCATTTCCATTAGAATTGTTTCTATGCGTGTTTGTGTACTTGTACATATGTATATATGTGTGCATTGGGCCTGGTTATATGGCTATAACTTTCTTTCTGATCAACCTATCATAATGAAACTTGGTATACGGATATATAATTCTTAACTGGATGTGCCTACCAAATTTTCAAAATTCTAAGAACTACGGGATTTATAGAAAATAGGGGGGGAGTGGGGGGATGCATCGGAAAAAATGAACAAACTCGTCCTTTCTCGGGCTCAGGAGAATCTGTATACCAAGTTTGGTTATTCTAGCTCTTATACTTTCTGAGATCCTTGCGTTCATACAGACAGACAGACAGACAGACAGACAGACGGACATGGCTATATCGACTCGGCTTGTCATGCTGATCAAGAATATATATACTTTGTGGGGTCTGCCACGCCTCCTTCTGTGTGTTCCTTGTGCACTCGCACAAAACTAATATACCCTTGTACCCTTTGCTCTATACGAGTTTTTAGGAACACCAAATTTTAGTCCCAGATGCCTTGTGTGAATACGCAGAAAATGTATATTTTGGAATTTCCCTCCCTCCCCCCACTACCCCGAAAATCGTAGCTCCCGTAATTCTTGGAATTTCGAACTAAAATTTTGGAAATACCCCCAGTTGGTTATTATATGTCCGTATAGTTTCACTATGATAGACCGATTTAACGAGAAGCTATAGCCATAAATATATTTGCTGCTGCAGCGCTGCTCAAACGCTGCCCGCGGCTGTTGTTGATGTTGCTGTTTAGTTGACTGCGAAAATGCTTACACAGACACGAATAGATGCGCATAGGCATACATACACTCACACAGACGCAATTGCTATGTAAATGTGCAATTATAAACCCTTTACGTGAGTTCGAATACCGAGAGAGGTAAAATCGATCATTGAATTTTTTTTTATTTTCTTAATTTTTTTTATTTTCTATAATTATTGTAAACATATGTACAGAGTATTTCAAAGTCGGGACACCCGACTTTAGGGAGAGGGAGCCAACAATGAGTAATAGGCGATATTTAAAGGCAGACTTGAATTGCAATTGACTTTGTATCTTAACAGATATTATTCGCCAGTCAAATTATGGATCACATTTTTGAAATCAGCGTTACTCATGCAATTCTACAATGCACATTGATGAGAATGGTTGAGCCAACATCTGAAGTACAATCACTACCTGGCCAATGCAAAATATCAACGATTTAAATTAAAATATCAACGCGGTGATTTTTAAATCACTTTAATTTATTAAGTTAACATATTAGCTAACAGTGGCTTATAAATTAAACCTGTTTGGAGGGAAACCAAAATAACTTGACAAAATTATATAATTTCAAGTTTAAATGATTGCGCTTTTATAACAAAACTCGTGTAATACTTAATGCATGTAGGAGTATAAGCAAATTCAAAGCTACAGAAAATATATCTGATTCTCGAAGTCATTATACAGTTCAAATTTCCCAACTTTTTTACTAGAATTCAGTGCCCATTGACAGCTGTTCGATCGATCCGATTTTGGATTTGTTTATGGCGGAACTATAAATTTGAAACTTCCAGGCAGCCGTCTCACTGTCGACGCCTCGTCTGCTACTTCTTTCATGTCACGTCGTTTGCACATAAAACCGCGGTTCACACACGCAGAACACTTTCAGTTCTGCCGACGTCAGAGCGCGCTCCAAAAAAGGATGCACATGCCCCGCCAGCATGCAACGCACACTAAATAGCTTCCAGCTAAGCTATCATCTGTTAGCCATCCCACCTATAAAAGCGCCCTCCAGGGCAAGCCAAAACATCAGTCGTTTTGCTTTTGCGTTCCTAGACACACATTCGCACTCTTTCAAAGACGGTTCTTATCGACATGGCCAATTTCCAAGTGGTTTTCCTTCTGTTCGCCTCCATTTGCCTGCTCGCCATTGCGCAGGCCCAGCAACAGCAGAGATCTCGAAGCTCCCAGCGCTTAAGCCGCGGCCGCTCCCGCTATTTTGCTCGCCAGGAACTGGCTCCAGCTGATGCCGATGCTGCCGCTGCCGCCGCCGTCACACCGTATCCATCAGCTGACGAACTGAAGCCTGAGGTGCCTTTTGACGAGGCTGCGCCAGCAGAGGATCCCACACCCGATGCGGTGTACGGACCACCAGAAGCTGATGCCGCCGCTGCTGCTCCCAATGCTGTGCCCGATGAAGTTTACGGTCCCCCCGAAGTTACTGGCAATGACTTGCCCGCTGCCGACGTCCCCAGCGAGCAGGCAGCTCGTTTGGTAGCCGCTCGCCGTCTCGCGAACTACCGCCGTGGCCAGGCAGCCAATTACCGTCGACTGGCTGCGGCTGCTCCACGTCCCGCCAAACTGAGCGCTATCCAGACCCCTGCTAGACGTCTCTAAGGAACCACCATCTGAAGCATTTGACTACATGCTGCTCCAAACTTGGCAGCAGTAGCCACAGATGCTAACGACATAACATCCATCTAGATATAGCAACGAACACTGACACACCCGCACACCTTACAAACAAATCTTGGCACACACTTCAATCTATCACACAATAAAAACCATGCTACTAATTTAAACTTCTCAATGGCAAGTCCATCCAGGTAATTAAAATAATGAGACAAAACTCATCAGTAAAGGCATTTTTCATATACTTGTAATTACATAGTATACATCGAGCCTTCCAAAGTCAGCAGGACTCTTGGAATGGGGTCTTTGCTGGTGGTGAGGTTTATTCAAATGGATCAGAGCTGGAGTCACCGAAGTCTTAGGGCTGTAATATATTTGTTCACCCCATGGTTTGAGCTAACTCTATAGCGTCACATTTATAGATAGAAATTAATATTCAGGAGCTAAGTTGATGCAGACAATTTTAAAATTATACTCGTATATTAGGTTTGTGAAAAGTATGTGACAGGCAGAAGGAAACATGCCCGACCACATGAAGTAAGTATATACGCATATACATACGTGTATGTATTCCTAATGATCATGATGAGAGAAATGGATATATAGTTTTCTACTTCTGTTCAGCAATGCGGCCACAAACTGTAGCATCAAGTTTGCTCTTCTTATTTTTATACCCTGTACCCGTAGGGTAAAAAGGGTATACTAGGTTTGTGCAATGTATGTAACATGCAGAAGGAAGCATCTCCGACCCCATAAAGTATATATATTCTGAATCAGTATGACGAGAGCAATCGACCTAGACATGTCCGTCCGTCTGTCCGTCCGTCTGGATGAACGCGAGGATCTCAGAAACTATAAGAGCTAGAATAACCAAAGTTGGCATCCAGATTCTCTTAGGTCCGAGAAAGGACGAGTTTATTTTATTTTTTGGAATTTCGCCCCCCTTCCCCCGCTACAGAATTTCGTCAATAGCGTCCACATTTCAAATGCTACCTAAACCAAACTTTGCACACATAATTTATATGTAATTATCTACTGTTGTTTAAATTTTATCCAATTCGGTCAATTCTAAGAAAAGTTATTAGCGAAACAAATTCTCTACAGTACAACCCCACCAAATTGCAGCAACAAGTTCGCTCTTCTTCTTCCTCTTTGTGGGCGCATGTAACTCAGTGACGGAAGTTTACCTGGGTACAGGGTATTACACTGTCGGGCTTGCTCGACTGTAGCGTTCTCCCTTGTTACGTCTGCTATGGACGCATGTAGCTCAGCGCCGGAAATGTGTTTGGGTACAGAGTGTTTCACTGTCGGTCTTGCTCGACTGTAGCTTTCTCTCTCGTAGTGGTGTGAGCTGTTGAAGTCTTACTTTTTACGTACTCAGTGCGTGCCAAGTAACAGTGCCTCATTATATAATACATATTAAGGAATATGGAATGTTATGTAAAATTGGGGACCCAACTCTTAAAGAGTCGTGGGTTCTCCTGGCGAGAGCATGACCCAAATTACTCCTCTCGAAAAACTCTCCTAAATACATGCCTTCAACCACTGGGATAAGTCGCATCTGGCCAATCACCAGGTCGACTGACAACAACATGATTGAAGAATGGCGCTAGACTGGAGGTACACCCCCAAGGAAGCAGACGCGTCGGCAGAACTAAAGACGACAACCTGGCGGCGGATTACCCAGAAACAACACCACATGGGATGCAGCTAAGACGACAGACGGCTAGAAATAGAAAGTTAGATGGAAAAATATTCTTGTAGAAGCTTGGAGCTTCCCAAGTATAGTAAAAAGGTGGAAATAAACTCTTAAATACCTTTTGTTCACGTTCACAAAAAACAAAAACATATTTTCTTAAGGGACTAACAATAAAGGTTCATTTATTTTATAATTATTCTATTTTATTTTACAATATATTATTGAATTGCGTGAACTGTGGCTGCAAACTTGGATAAGATTTTATGCTTTACTTGGAACACGATGCGCCAGTGATGGTTCTCCGAATGTGGAATGTGCTTGTTGTATAATATCGGCGTTCCTTCGGCTTGCATTGCCTCATAACTCGGAGCCATAGGTCCAAATAAGCCTAAGCACGGATTTATACAGATCCCAGAACGCTGCCTTGGGGGCCTTCAGCTTCGGTGATGTGATCATGTGATGTACTTAAGTCTCATTTCACTGAAAAGACTCTTTCGCAAGGATACGACACCCGTTCTTCAATTTCAGTGCGAAAAAATTTCACTCGGCTGGAATTCCATGGGTTCGAATGCATATTTTATATATATTAGTACCTGATGAATGAGTTGGTGGCAGAATTTGGCTGAAAGACACTCACTTTTTCTTCGTAATTGAGGAGCCAGCTGCCAGACGCGGACACATAACCGCTAACTGATATTTTCCAAATTTGAATGTAAAATTCCAAGAATTACGGGGTTATAGAAAACTACTAGGAGAGGGAATGAAATTCTGATATACACATTTTCTGCGTTTTCAAATAAGGCATCTTGGTATAATATTTGGTATCCAAGCACTTATAGTCTCTGAGATATAGGTGATTATATGAACGGCGTTACGGGAAAACCCTATTAGCGAGGAAGTGGGAGGTGTAATAAAAAAATAAAACAAACTAATACAGAGTACACACATAGGGCATCTGTGTACAAAATTCGGTGTCGTTATCTCATAGTCTCTTAAATCCAGGTGATCATACGGACGGAGAGAAGGACAGAGAGGGCTAGATCGACTCGGCTTGCCATGCTGATCAAGAATATATGTACATACATAAAATACTTTGTGGGGTCCGCCAAATCAGCTTATTTGTGTTGCATACATATATACACACATACATACATACATTCGAATTAAACTAGTATATGTACCTTTTTAACGTTTGGGTACAGGGTATAAAAACAATAAACGTTAATATGGCAGCAGACAGCTCATAACTAAGTATACACAATTCTGCGTACATTTTGTTATACCCTGTAGCCAACGGGTAAAAGAGTATATTAGTTTTGTGGAAGTGTTCATATAAGACACAGAAGGAGGCGTGGCAGACCCCACAAAGTATATTTATTCTTGATCAGTATGACAAGACGAGTCGATATGAAAATCTCCGTCTGTCTGTATGAACGCAAGAATCTCAGAAAGTATAGGAGCCAGAATAATCATTTTTACTATCCCGATTCTCCTATTTATTGTTTTGTATGCATAACAGCCACTCCCCCGATATTAGTGAAATTATAGTCCTTTAGTGATTATGTGTCCTCCTGTTAAGTTTCATTACGATAGATCAAAGTTTAATCGCTGGCCGTGCTGTGCTCACAGCTGGTGTTGTTATTGCTGCTTTGGCTCAACTCTGTACTGCACACATGTGTTGCACGATTATAGTCACGCATGGAGACAATATTGGGGTAAATGTATTATTTTAAAACAGTACGACTTTATGTATGTGTTATATATTTATGTTATTAATTTTATTTAATTAGTTTAATTTGAAAAAAATATATCCAAAAAAAGTTTCTTTTAATTTTGTTGCTTTTATACAGAGTATTGAACAGTTGGGCTACGTTTTTTAACTTTTTAAAGACTTCATCTTTGACTCTAACTATATCTAATAAACGCTTCTAAGTCAAAGTTTGGTGATTCTGCCTTTTTTATGAGAGCATTTCGTAATGCGTTTATACGTAACATACAAACAAATATACTTACGTATTTATATACTTGTATGTACGTGTACGTATAGTATGTAAATCGAGTGTATAACTTGTGTCTAACTTAGCTGTCAATAAAGAGCGGTCAAACCAAACCGAATAGTAATATGTGTAAACGGTTCTTAAGTTGTAACGGTGACGCCACAAATGAAATGTATTGGGCCATTCCACAAGTTTCTGACGCTTCCAGACATTCCGTCTACGGCTACCACTTCGAGTGAATCACATTGTCAACTGTGGGAGTGGGTGGGGTGGCGCTCCCGCTCTATCGCTTGTGGAGGCAATGACAACGGCTTAATCATCGGCCGGCAAGAGGCGCGGTCTGAAGTTCAACCGGTTTCAGGACGCCAGCGTCAGGTTTTGCGTACGCTTAATGCTAAGTTGATGACGAGCCACAACAACGAAGTTGAAATTGATGTAGCTTGGGTATTTCCGAGACCGCAAAGCAATCGAGCAGACAAATAAGTAGTTAGGTAGCAATAATGAGTAAACAAAAACCAAGAAAGGCAAAAGCAAATCCACCGGAGATAGCGGGAGAGTGTTTTTCACGCATCTTGAGAGGGAAACATGGCGAGCTACAACTGATAAGAGCAAGAGCGAGTCTTTTGCTGCTTCGAATCAAGTTGAAAGAGCGCTCCCAACTCATACTATAAATAATCTCAGGCGACGCTTTCGACGACCAGTCGCATCTCAGCAGTCGACACAGTATTAACAGCAACTTTAATTACTTTGAACTTGAATTTGAATACAAAGTGAAATCAAATAGAAACATGTTGAGCAGCCTTAATGAAAAAATTGCAGCGGTAGCATTACTCTTTGCACTTTGTCTCACGCATATGGCTGAGGGTCAGCGACCCTCATTTGCGGGCGCCCGTCCGCCGGGCGGACTCCATCAAAAAGACAAATACCATGGCACGCAGAATACGGCGGCAGAGAACATCACAGGCCTAGGTATAGCCAATCGATTTGGAAGCGATGCAGTACAGCGGCCGGAGATAAGCACATTGGCCTACGGAGCATCACAGAGTCCGCCAATGGGAGTAGATTGGGTCACACCCGAGGCCACTTATGTTCCCATTGCGTTCCCGGCCAGTTCATCAACTGCCACTGCAGGTGCAGCCGTCGGAACAGGCGCATCAGCATCTCCATCAGGATCACCACAGTTCGGAATTGTGAATCGTTTTGGGGCTGCCGAAAACAATAGCAACACTCCCAACTCCATCAGTGGATCTACAGTTCCAGCCGCAGGTGTAGTCCCGCTTCCCATTGATGCGCACAACGATCTTGAATTTGTCAACCATCTCAATCGCCTGCCCATCGATAAGCAGCCCTTCTGGTTCATCAACTACCAGGCCATTGAGGCTCAACGAAATAGTTCAAGGGCGAATGTTAATGCGCTCGAGACCCGCGGCTCATTCTTTGGCGGCTAGTCTACAGGCTCATTAAGTTAGGAGACTAGTTTTTAGCTCTCATCCATTTAGTTTGTAATCATGTTATGTGTAAATATAAACTAGTGTGTGTTGATGATTTATTTATAAAAAAGACGCGCGACGAACAAAATAAAAGCCCCGTATCGAGATTTGCATTCGAAATTTTTATGACGTGATAACCTTTAACAGCCTCCGATCACAAGTCTCAGTCATGATTAATCGTCAAGGAATGCCAAAGAACCGAAACATAATCGTTTGCGTTTACTATTAAGACAATAGCTCTTCAAATGGGTATCTCATTTAACCATTTATTATTTATTTAGAATATTGTAACTTTACAAAACAGTCTATTCAAAATTATTTTTGGACTTGAAAATAAAGTACTATCCACAAAACATCGTTATATTTTATTTAATTAAGATTCATAAACCGCGGAAGAAACTGAAGATCCCTCCGTCAGCGAACAGAAGACACTTGGACACACCAAATTAATGATTATTTTCCATTTGGTCTCCCATTTCTCTTCATGAGCATCACAAACTTAAATTCCAAAAACAATAAAATAACAATTGTCTCAATGGGAATGCTTAACAGCGAATTTGACAAGGCAGGCAACTTTTCAATATACAAGTATGTAGTATGCAGGGAAATCTGTTTAGAAGGAGCTCAATCCATTAAAAATGCATTGAAGTACAGGGGCAGACGGCGATGGTAGATGGCGATGCGGGAGAGCATTCGGTAAGGAGGGAAGACCATTAAATAGCAAGTATATTCACAAGAAAACTTCAGGGCAATAGACGGCAGCAAACAATGCAATATAAAAGCGTTTGCTGTGGGGAGAGGAGAATGCCTTTTGTTACCGGCGACTGATTTGCAATAAGACGAGGCACATGGCCGAGAGAATGGCGGAGGCAGAAAAAGCGCTGGCGAAATGCTTAGCAGGGAGAAAGGAATGTCACGAACGGACGTTCACGTAAGATAAAACAGGCAAACGCTTCACTTGCAGTTTGAATGCATAATTTACAAGATACATATACGTCCATACGAACATACATATATACATATATATATATAAAGACACATTTATGTGTATATAAATATAAATAGGTACAATATACACAACACAAAACAAATTACAGATAAGCACAATCAATAACAATCAATCGGAGGTGATGGGGAGATTACCAAGTCAACTGCTGTTGCAGCTGCTGAGGTGCAGCAAAGTAATAAAATTGTGGCACAGGATTGGCAACGGGGCTGATAGCGGGGGCTGGGGCGACCAGAAAGCTGGGTGAGACTGCAACAGGTGGAGCTTCGCCCTCCTCCAGACGTGCTGCTCTCTGTTGCTGATGACGCTGACGTTTGGCCATCTGTAGCTTAGCTAGGCGCTGAAGGTTCTGGCGCAGACGTGCAGGCACCGCCACAGCTGGTGTGGTGGACTCTACAGAAACGTCCTCACTGTCAATCTCCTCAATATCCACAAGTGATGGCTCCTCGTTTTCCACAGGCAGTGGATCATCTATAGGCGGGCCATAAATGAGCGCAGGCTCCGCTTCAACGCTTACTTTCTCTGCGGCCTCCGATGCCTCTGCATCGAATGGCACCTCGGGCTTCAGTTCAGACGCGGAGGGATAAGGCGTAGGTGGAACGGCATTTTCGGGCAACTGCTGCCTGGCAAAAGGACGCATTAGTCGCTGTCGACTGTAACGCAGGCGTGTGGGCGCCACTGCCCCACAGGTAGCCAGCAGGGTGACCAGGGCAGCAAGGAGGAGCAGTGATCTAGAGAATTGATGGCGTGCCATGATAGTGCGACTGATGATAGCTTTTTGTTGTCAGTCGTATATGGTGCTTTGACTTTTATAGTGCGACGATACTACCATCACCCCACCACTGTGGCCCCGGCGCCATTCTAGCCCCAGTAATTTTGACGATTTCTCGTCTATCGCTACGCATATAAAGCAGACTTAAAGCGCCTCACCGCTTTCTGATCGCCGCTCGCATGTCAAGCAGGCTTATGCGAATACATCGGGCGTGAAGTTCAGAGTTAACTACGTGTTGTCATAATGGCTACTTATGACTTAAATCGATGTATGGGCCCTTGACTAAATATTGTCACGTAGACCCTTAAGGTGTCCCTCGCAGCGCCAATTATGAGTGCACCAGCGTGGTCGGCGCCTATAAAAGCACCACTCGCAGCCACTAACAGCAACATTCTAAAATACTCTTTCAAACAGTTACTAAAGATGGCCCACAATTTCGTCTGCTCCCTGGTCGTGCTCTCTATAGTTGCCACGGCGGTTCAGGCAGAGCCTGCACGCTTCCGTAGCCGTTCGTCCCGTTTGCAATTGGCTCGTCAGGAGGCTGCACCACCAGCACCCATCGATCCACCACAAGATGCTCCAGCAGAGGCTCCTTACCCGCCCGCGGGAGTGACCCCAGCCGTGCCCTTCGATCTGCCCACAGAGACTGAAGCGCAACCAGATTTGACTTACGGCCCACCTGACAACACCTACGGTCCACCCGCAGAAGACTTGGCGCCACAGCCGGACAACACCTACGGTCCTCCCGATGCTGTTGATGCCGATCAGGACCCAGCACCTACGGCCGACACTGCTGATCCTATGGCACAAAATCTGATTCAGCCACGCAACAGCCGCCTCCGTAGTCGCCGTCCCGTACCGGAAAAGCTGCGTGCCGTTGAGATCATTAAAGCCAAGCCTGTATTTATCTATGCTCTGTGAGTTAGAATTAGGCATCAGAAATCTTTCTGAATTGGTTTGTTATTATTAAATAAATTGTTTCGATTTTGTTGTTAAAAAACTATATTAATTTCAATAGAAAGAAAAAATCAGAAAAAATCAATTAGAGATTTGATTAATTTCTTACTGATCTTTTAAGGTGCTGATGAAAACTACAAGTATATTACGTTTGTGGCCTGCCCCCTATTTGCCTAATTGTTCAGCTTTAAAATTTGAGTTATTTACCTACTTATCTACGTCTATGTTAATCTCTACTATTCACAAAAGATCACTTTTCATTGTTACCTGCAATGAGAGATTCATGCTACAGACGAATAATGCCAAATCGTACGTCTAAACGCTTGTGAAATCCAAGCGCAAAAGATCATTATTTTCTAGAAAGCTCAGATAATATTACAATTAATGTTTTTTTTGTTAATTTATAAATTGAAATTATTGAATTTATTTTTAAACAAATAGATGTACGCTCTATAGGTTGTGATCTGCTTAAAAATCAATGTTAATTTCTATCAAAAAGTCGTTGTTTAGTTACAACAAATAGATACTTTTCAAGTACCTCAGCAGGAAAGTTTGCGGACAGTGCCACTAATTACAGATTGAGGTAATAATTGTAAACAATTGTTTTTCGGTAAGGCTTATTTTAGAGTTTTGTTTTTAAAATTGATACATATATGTTTACTATATGAGCTCTGATTATTTTGAAAAACAATGTTAACTTATTCCTATAAGTCGTTTTTTAGTTTAAGCAATAAAATACTATTCCTTCGGCAGGAAATGTTTGCAAACCTAAAGGACCCCACTCTTATGTAATCATTTTTATCTGTAAGGCTTATATTAAAGTTTAGTTTTAGAACATATTTTCGTACAAAAATTTGTTTCTTTCCTATGGTAGAGTAGCGCAATAATTGTAATGATTATGTAACTTTTTTTTCGTTAGGGCTTATTTTAGGATTTGATTTTAGAAATTGATTTTTTTATACATTAATTAAAGAAATATGTGCTTACTCTATGAGCTCTGATCAGCATGAAACCCAATGTTAATTTCTTTGAATAGGTCGTTGTTTAGTTTGAGCAATAAAATACTCTCCAAATTTATACGACAGGAAGTGTTGGCGAACGCTTTAAAAGTGTGACATAAGTCGTTGAGTCTTACGATTGAAAATTGAGTTGCCGGGATCGCAAGAGCACATTGAGAAATCTTTGATAAGAGGGGAAGCTTTGATTTTAGGGCTTCCCAATATGGCAGAATTTCCTTATCATATGTTATACCAGGTCCAAACTGCAACAGTTTTATTTTTTTCTCAATAGGTTTGTCGGGTTCCCGGCTATTAATTCCTGGATGATATTTGCTTATAATGCTGTACTTGCTATCGTCTCGGATGTTCTTATTTTCAGACTTAATATTAAATACTGGATCACTTTCATTCTCTTTTCCATACCAATTGGAGCAGAAAAACAATTTAAACTAAATAAAAATAAATGGAATAAATGTCAATATAAAAATGTAAGCCAAACAGCCCAAAAGTGCTTACCTGAGCCAATTGCTTTTGTTCATCTGTTAAGATGTTTGACCCTAGATAGGTATACCTGGGATCTATGTATAAAGCAGTTGAAAAGACAGTTTTTCCTATTATATCATGTTTTTTGGAGGCCAGTGTAGAAATGCATTTACTAGCCACTGCATTTTCGTGAGCCATCTGATTTAATTTAGCTTCGCACAGCAGCCATTCTCTGAAGAAATCTCCCACAGGCATTTGCTTCGATTCGACTGCATTTAAGCATTCAACTATTTGTGTAAACGCGGCGTAGAAATTTTCTACAAAATCCCAGGGAAAATTATGTTCAGGTGCGTTTTTAGGTCTGTTTGTTTTAAGATTTTCTATCATTTTATAAATAGATCGCCATGGAAATTGTTTTACTAGACTGTCGATTTCGGTCTCCTCACTATCTTCTGAAGAGATTTCATCATCATTATGTGTTTTTACAGGGGATTCTAGGTCCTCAATGGGTTCCTTGTAATTACGGCAAATCTCCAGTTTGGCTCCGTAAAATTTGATCACTTCCTTCACAGCTAAATGAAGTAAATGGGTCGGGCAGAGATCAATGTTCATTGATGTTGATATTTTAGCAAAAACTTCTTCAAAATCTGGGTAATCATCATTTAGTTCACCATCTTCCTGGCACAAGTAGCGTACAATTTCTGGTGAGTCCAATGTGTCAGCACCATTGTCAACCATTATTGAATACACCTGATTCATGTTAATGCCAAAATTTTGCAAGCATTGCTCTAATTGTGCCTTTAAGCCTGGTACATCAATGCAGTCCACTGTTTTAATATCTTTCAATTCTAACATTCCGAGCGAATGCAATTTGGTTACAAAATTATCGACGTATTGAATATGAATGAAGAATAGAATTCGACTTTTATGTGCTACCATATCCAATTTGACGCATACCAAGTGTTCCTTTACTTTTTCTGTAATGACTGTGGAGATCTCTTTGGCAGCTAATTCGATATACTCAACTACATCCTTCGGGGTCAATTTAATGTCATATACTTCGGACCAGGGCTGTAGAAGTTTTACAAAAGTATCATCCTCGTCAAAGATTGATAGAGGTATTGAGTAAACAGAGACCATGTGCAGAACGCTTTTAACATATTCGTTTGGGGGCATTTTTAATGAGTTTTTTTCCATCCTTAACTTTTTGTTGTTATTGGCCAACTTTTCTATAATCTTTAATTCTCGTTTTGTAGCCATTTTAGAACAAAAATGTCATAAGCTCTATAATTAAAAATTTATCTGTAAAGATTTCAGTTTAAATTAGAGTAAGTGGTATAGATAAAGTAAATAATATATTTTAAAGACAATATTTAAGCCAAAAGAGAAAGCTAATACGAAATACTCTCTATGTAAATGTATAATTATGTACATATAAAAATTAAAAATATTACAAAAACAATAAACAAAAGTATAGTACAACTATACAAAAATAAGTTTGATCTATACCTCCATCGGGAATAGAACTGACGTGCCTGCATCAATAGAAAATAACTGCCATTTGATAAAAAAAATTTAAGAAAGAATTACGGAAGTCATGGAATATCACTAATAAAGGAAGGAGAAAAAATTTTCAAATACACCAGTACTGATTATATAAAAATAAGCCATCTGTGTCCAAAATCTCCAGCTCTTACAGTCTTTGAGATCTAAGTGTTTATGCGAACGGAGTTATGGTGTGTTTGCATTATATCAGAGGGGAATGGATATTGATGAATAAATAAATACTTTTCAAAAAATTCAAAATTGTCCTTTTCTTTTGAACAGACCATGTATGCGTTGGTGTACGTGTGTAAGCAACAAAGAGAATTAGAAGGACGAAACTGGTACTGCATTTTGGGGTGTAAAATTATTCTCCTTATAACTTTTTTTTAGGATGAACCGAATTGGATTGAACATAAATTCTAACAACAATTATTAAGAAATGTCCATTCAAATCTATGAGTCTGTCATTCTTATCATTATATATATCCTATCCTTGCCATGATAACAACCAGAAATAACAAACAAATTATCCAAAAAAGTTTGTCCTTTTCAAATTAACAATATTATTGCGATTGTGCGTGTCCTTGATATATGCCAAGCGAACAATTACCCTAACTGGAAGAAAAGCTACATATGCCTTATGAGAGACGAAAAGACACGTCTACCCCATGACCTACTGCACATGAATACAAAACGACAACGCTAGCGCAAAAATGCTATAAAATTATGAATATTTATAGCTCAGAACATAAAAAACATGACAGTTTCATGACGACCTATAGATTTTGTATGAGTTGGAATACTCTTTTCGCCTTCCCCCTCTCACCGTAGTGTTAATGAGACGCACTTGTAGCATTGACCACCGCGATTGGACAAAAGGGTCACGTAATGTACATTAAATCGGAAATCACAAGCTACAGACACAGGTAACAAGCAAAAAGACGCATTCATACGATAAGCGGTAACAACAGTAAGAATAGCAAATGACCAGCCAGCCGATAGCAACATAATCAAAGTTAGCGACAGGAACATACAGCGAGGCCTAGAGCCGAAAGTGACAAACATAATTTAAAATCAGAAATTAGGTGGGAGGCGACAGCAGAGAGTAGTTGGCTATAAAAACGCGTAGCGCGTGAAGAAGTCAGAACACAAGCGAAACGATCGTGAAAATGACTACAAGTACAACTGTTATTCTAATTAGCCTGGCATTGATGGTTACAGCCGAGCCAGTGCGTCAACGATTTACGCCTCGGCGTGGACTAGCGCGTCAGGAGGAAGCACCCATAGCGCCAAGTCCTGCACCAACGGGCTATCCTGCAGCGGGTATTACACCAGAAATACCGTTCGATCTTCCCAGCTCGACTGACAAGCCAGAAGCGACGTATTTGCCGCCAGATAATACCTATGGACCTCCCGAAGTTGTCTACGGGCCACCGCAAAGTGTTGGCGAAGTGGCACCAGAGATTACGCCAGAACAACCTCTCCAAGAAGATGATGTGCCACCGACGGTAGAAGAAGAGGAGGAATCACTTGGTGATTCCAAACAGAAGCCGGATAACGACGAGGATGTGCCACTGGCACTCAGTGATGATGGGACAGTAATAGCCGTTTCCACGACACTTGATCAGCCACAAAACTTGGCCAGACTCTACCAACGTTTTCCACAGGCTCGCAAACGCGGCCAGCTACCAGTGCCCGAGCGTTTGATATTAATGAGGGGATCACGATATAGTCTCAGACGGCAGTAAAATGTAATGAGAATTATTTACAATTATGTACACGTATTAATAATAATATTAAAATATAATAATATATAATGAATAAAGTTCACCTACTCACCTACAAGTCGCTAGTCTCTCATAGGTTTGGCCCATTCATCATAAGCGTTTGCACGTTTCGTTTGAATCGTTCGCCATGTAAGTCTTATGTGGCGCTTGACCTCGTCAATATTTTTTGGGCAGTTGGTCAATATGTGTTTATGTGACCGATACTGGCGCTTACCAAGGTTTAATGTCTTATTGGTGCTATTTATACCCTCCAACTGACAAGTCTTTGGGCAGTTAATCTTCTGCCAGCGAAATGTGTGGTACTCGGACGTTATTAGTGACGCTTTGCGGCGTTCTCAGCTTTTCTGTTTATCCTTTATGTGAAGGCGCTCGTTTAAACCATGTGCGCTTTCCAGGACCTGCAAAGATTCAGCAATTACCAAGTACTTTGCAAAATCAGGAAGCAATAGGCGCGGCACCATATCCACCAGCTGGCTTGACACCAAATCCTCCCTTCGAATTACCTACCGAGGAAGCGGCTGAATTCCCTGAAGCTGAAGTCAAGCCTATCTATGAGCCACCAGATGAAACATATGGACCCCCAGATGAAACATATGGACCACCAGATGAAACATATGGACCACCGGCTATCGACGATGTGCCAGTACCAGATGTAACATACGGCCCACCCGATCAGACTTATGGACCTCCAGATCAAACTTACGGTCCCCCGCCTCCTGAACAAACGTATGGGCCTCCGGACCAGACCTACAGTCCACCCCCTGCAATAAGCGAAAATAACGTTGCAACAGCTACCTTACCACAAAGCGCTTCCATTATTAATGTAAGCAGCCTTCGTCCTCAGGCACAATTTGTGTTGCCACTGGTGCAGCGTCTTATTGCTTTCCGACCTCTACGACGTCCAATTCAAGTGCAACGAAAGCCATCCAAATTAAGAACGCCGCCGCGAAAGCCACAAAGACCTGCTAATGTCGTAAACGCGCCAAAAGCAGTTTTTCCTGCAACGCAGCTAAGCCTACCATTTATTGAACGGCGGACACCCTTTCGGTCGTCATCGCGTCTAGTTGTTAATGCTCCACTAAAAGCTATGAAAAATATTGCGAGTCCGACATTTGCCCAACTATCGCCCACAATTCGTAGACCAATTTTTTCGGGTAGTCGTATCATTGGTTATTCTGCTCAAGCGCAGAATTGGTAAATGGTATGCATTTTTAAAGATACTATAAATAAATCGAAACTTAACTGAAAAAACTCTTTTAATCTGGCTCAGTGAGGATGAACTCCCCGAATCAAATGCGTCGTTCTATTCAGACGAAAACGAACTATAGGGTTGCCTGACATCATACTTTACAAATCTGGCAAGGCTGCTCAGGGCAGTGCTGTATAATAGCTTTTCTCAGCAGTAAAGAAGCAACTGTGGTTAAGTCTTATATATTTAATGTGGCAAGGACATATGTATGGCAAAAGGGACAACTAATACATTCTAGTAAAATCCCACTAAAAAGTACAATCAGTAAATACATATAATTTGTGTGAAATATGTTTCGTTAGGGTTTCACACAATCTCTAACAATTTCTTTTAAAAATTTACATTTCTTAATTTTCTATGTTTTGGTTAATGCTACGTGGTGTAGTTCCAACAAGATTTTGTGTCACAACATACAAAGATATCATATAATGGTAGGTTTATTGTGTTTCTTTAAAAGCGAACTAATTTAGAAATTTGTTTCTACAGTTCACTAACTTTGATAGTTTACTGTAGCTGTAGATATTGCTGGCTTATGTACTCCTATTACAGCGAGTTCGACTGTATGGCAACACTATAATTGCCGCACGCGCAAAATAAAGCCGCACATTTATGCAGAGTCTTATAAATAACTTAAATTAGCAAAAGCTGCTCTATTTAAGATATAAACGCGCTTTGCGAAACGTTCCTTAGCTCGACCGTTTCAAAACAAGAGGATCAGAAGCAGAACAAAGTACGGAGCAGAGCGATTTGGTAAGTCAACGACTTGATATTTTTTTATTTACGTGCCAACATGCTGGAATTTCAGGTACAATGGCTGGCGTGTTGTTTGAAGATATATTTAATGTGAAAGACATGGACCCGGAGGGCAAGAAATTTGATCGTGTATCCCGCCTGCACTGCGAGTCCGAATCATTTAAAATGGACCTCATATTGGATATTAATTCCTGGCTCTATCCAATGGAACTGGGCGACAAATTTCGTCTGGTGCTGGCTACCACATTGCGTGAAGATGGCTGTCCCGACAGCGGCGAATATAATCCTATGGAGCATGAGGGTTCGAGAGCTGACAGCTTTGAGTACGTAATGTACGGCAAGATCTACCGAATTGAGGGCGACGAAGCGTCTAACGAGGCATCGCGACTGTCTGCCTATGTTTCATTTGGTGGACTGCTTATGCGGCTGCAAGGAGATGCCAACAATTTGCATGGCTTTGAGGTGGACCAACACATGTATTTGCTGATGAAACGCTTGGCTTTTTAGGGATCAGTTCTTTTAATAAATAATAATATGACGGATAAAATTGATTTATAACCAAAGTGTGCTTCCAATTTAGCGTTGTGTTCAAAGTGTCAATGCTAACCGGACGAATTTACTATTGACAATTTCTAAATTTAATAATGCGGCATTTTAATATATTAGTGATGCTTACAGTCTTTGGACTGGCCTGGATCCTTTGCGAAATTTGGCTCAGCAGAAACCGGAAATATTCTCTTACCAGGAACAAAGTTTTGATAAAACTAAGCAGCATCAATGAAGCTCTTCTAATTTTAAACAAAACGAAAACCCGTAACGCTGCGCTTGAGAATATATTCGCAAAGCTAATGACATCACAGCTTGATAAGCAGAGCGCAAAAAAGGTTGTGATTATGTTGGAGAAGAATTTACCAAGAGTCGCTACTGAACCAGCTTACAGAATTATCACCGAAGATGCCAAAGTGAGTGATGATGAAAACACAGATTATGATGCTGAAGTTGGGATTGACGGTGATAAGTCTCGTGGTGCCTTCAATCATAGTATCGTGTTGGAACCGAGATTGGAGTATGAGCTCGCGCTGCGACACATAGAAAGGGATATAACCGAAACAATGTATAATTTGAGCAGCGAATTGAGCGAAGTTATAGACCGAAATACAACCAACAACCTGTCGAACAGTATAAATAAAGTTCTGGCGCGCTGCAAAGAGAAGAAACTAGGAATTTTGAATGACATAAACAACTTACGCATGCTGGACGGTTACAATCGCTGGAGGGAGGAAGAGGCCAAGAAACTGGCGGAGATGGTTCAACATCATATCCAACGACTGCAGAGTCCAGAGAACTGCGAACGAGCACGCAAGTTGGTGTGTTACTTGAATAGAGACTGTGACTTTAGCTGTCAGTTGCATTATTTGGTCTACTGCTTCGTAGTTTCTTATGCCACATATCGCACACTTATACTTAAATCCGAAGGCTGGCGCTATAACTCCTATGGATGGAATAAAGTGTTTTTACCCATCTCACCAAACTGTGTTTACGTCAGTCCCTTCGATCGGATTGTAAAATGGCCAGGCCGCCATTATAGCCAAGTGATGGCCCCACCCACGATAGCGCCTAGTGGTGAGTACCAGCCCTATTTGCCCCTGTCTCCTCCTCCCCATCTGGCGAAGCGACTAAATCGATTTCATGGTAATCCCACTGCATGGTGGGTGGGCCAGTTTCTGAAGTATTTACTCCGCCCACAACCATCAATGCGTGACTTTCTCATATCAGGGATCAGGAATCTGAGCTGGCAACACCCCATTGTTGGCGTATTTATTCAAAACTCCAACTTAGGCGGCGGCCTTGTAGAATATATGACCTATGTAGAGGACTACTACCGCATGCTGGAGGGAAATGGAACGCAACAGGTGCGACGCATCTTCTTAGCCTCTGATGATGCACAAGTCATCAACGGAGCTCGCTCGTTATATCCCCACTACCAGATCATCGGTGATCCCGAAGTGGCAAATGGGATGTGGAGCTCTACCAATGCTGCTTTGAACACCATAATCCTGGACATATACCTTCTGTCCATCTCCGATCATCTGGTCTGCGCCTTTTCATCGCACATATGCCGACTGGCTTACGAATTAATGCAAACTTTGCATACAGATGCGTCACAGCGATTCATGTCGGTTGATCAAACGTACCATTTCAACATTAGTGATATTAAGACCCCCACATGGACAAACAGAAAAAAAACCTGAACACAATAAATAAAACGGTGTAGATACCTACTATGTACATATGTATGTAAATAACGTATTTTTAGTATGTTAGGCTGATAAAGGGGTCTGCAAATGTTAGTATTTTTATAGGTTTGCAAGCGGTATTTTGCTTTTGACATTAAACGGTCACACTAATTCCATGTCCATATTTTGTAGAATATAAATTGCTTTAACAAAAACGAGTGTGAAACAATCGGTATGCTGGGCATTAATATTGTTAAAGGAAAAGTTAGAGCATGCATCTAACATATAGCATTCATTAAGAACATTAAGCAAAGCGCTATGGGTTCAAAATCTACAATGTTTGTGTACATATTTTGTTCGAGTTAAAAGAGCAACCAAAACATGTTGGTAAAATGACAATTAGCTTATGTTTGTGTGCCTAATATTCTCAGATTCTTTAGCAGCATTAATGCTTAAACAAATTATAGATGCACGCAATGCAACAAAGACGACATCAGCGAAAGCGTCTGCAATGGTCCGGGGGCTGTCTTCTTTGTGTTTTTGTTGTTATTACTGCTGCTGCTGCCCACCCTGTGACAAATTCATGAGCCAGGTGGTAAGTTGAGGTCGTTAATTGGGCGAAATGGTTGTGGTGTTGGGTTTATAAATGTAGTTTACATGTAATATTTATTAATCATTTTGCGGTGCTTGGACATACATTACATACATATGTATGTATAGTACATACTAACATTTACATGTGTAGATTCGAGATAAGAATTTTGCTCCACAGGCTTCCACGGGGAGCGGGCATACAAAAGACTTCAACGCGCATGTTGCTACGGAAAATACCTCACCACCTTCACCTCCCAATATCCGAACTTATTAGCATTACAAAACTGCTGTTATGTATTCTTTCTGTACTGTTTTTTGTTTTGTATATTTTTTTTGCTGTCGTTCGTGCTTTTTTCGTTATTTTGCGCTCGCCTGCCCGTCATTCTCTTCTGTGCATTCTTCAACTCGCAATACTTTTTTTCAATTTAATGAATCGTTGACTACTGGACTGCGCGCGTGTGTTGAGTGTGTTTGGTGTGCTTGGTCGCGCTTTAATTTACTTTTCAACAGTTCTGTTTAACGCTTCATTTGCGTAACGTCCGGGGCACTCGGCAGCTGTCCCTGCACTTGGGCATGCTTCAGCGCCAACTGTTTTTGTTGCTGTGATGGTACTGGTACTTCATAAAGTTTAAGTGAGTTTGATGGAAATCGCATTACGATGGGCTTTGTCGCAAACTACTGCTGCTTGCTGGGCGCGGCCTTAATGGACCGCATCGTCGCCATAGCCAACATCATGATTATGATCATGATAATAACTGAGTAAAGAATAATTTTTGGCACCAGCCTAGAGCGCATTGCAGTCGTCCAGAAATCTGGCCACCAGATGTTTATTTCGCGCTTTCTGTCCAGGTTACCCCCTTAGCAGCTCCGGTCTGGTCTTGTCAATATTATTGTTGTTTTTTCAGCTACGTTTTCACTTTTTCCTTTGCTCTTTGCTATACATTTTCCGCTTTGATATGCGATTTCATTAGAAGTTATACTTGGGCACTTATGTAAATATATACATATGTATGTACATGCATATATTCTTATGTATATGTATGTATAGTCCCGCAGATTGCGAGCGAACGGTGCCGGTCCTCTTCAGTTTAATTCGTCTTGAGTGGCGCGCAGATCGATTTTAAAGTTTCGCTTGAAGCCTTCACAAAAAAAATTTCGTGTTCAGTTTGTCAGCATTACAGGCAAGTGCTTTAATTGTCGCAACACATTCTTATCGGAGTCTTATCAAAGACAATGTCTTATCAGTCATTGTGCCAGTCGCTGTCTATCGCGCTCTCTATTGCACAAAGTCTAAGTGAACAAACAAAAGATTGAGAAAACAAACTCTGAAATTCTTCTTGCGCCTAGGTTGTACGACTTAAATAAATTTACCTGGAAATTGTTGCTGATAAAGTTACTACTATAACAGAACAGAAACAAGAATAAAACAAGCTGCGTATACAGCGTTATAATGCACAGACATGATTTTGTCATGGCTCCCTTATCGTCACCTCGTTATTTGAATTTGTCGACGACGTCTTTCATTCCCAAGTTCAGTTGGACTGTGGACACAGCTGCTGCCTGGTTGGCTGATTGACGAAGTTTCTTTGTATTGTGTATGTGCGTTATTGCTGTTGTTGTTGTTCACATTAAGAATGACAATTGACGAACGAATTTTCCTCTTTCTTGCAGCGCATGTTTTTAAAAAGCGTAAAAAGTACAGAAACTACATATACAACATTCTTCAATAACTAAACACTTACCGGTGTGGGCTCTCTAAGCTAACCCAGCCCAATATACATATATTAGACTCTTGTAGCCTACTTTTAACTCGAGTAATCAATAAAAGTAAATTGGTAAAACAAAAAAAAATAAAATAAAAAAAAGGTGCCGGTTTTAAAAGCGCAAAATTACCAGAAACTAAAATTACAACATGGTACGCAGCCGACGCTCACTCTCTAAGGAGGATGTGGCCTCGTTGCTTACTGACAGTGGCATCTCGCTGTCCTCACCACCAACAGCAAGGGATTCTACACCCACACCAACGCCTAGCACAGCGAGCAAATGCAAGCGACGCAAAAGCAGCCTCAACAGTTTGCGCGATGCGGAGGCCAGCAGTCAATCAGAAGCGGAGCACTTGCCCAAGAAGAAGCCACGTAAATCGGAGTCAGGCACCCGAAAGCAGCATAAATGCAGCCATTGTGGCAAGGAGTTTGGTGGCAAGACCGACCTGCAGCGTCACATGCTCATACACTCTGACGAGCGGCCGCACAAATGCGAAGAGTGTGGCAAATGCTATCGTCAAGCGGTCAATCTAAAGAACCATATAACGACGGCACATGAGCACAAGAAACAGTTCACCTGTCCCGAATGTCCGAAATCTTTTGCCCTGAAGGAGCGACTGCGCCTGCACATGCGATTGCATTCCGGGGAGAAGCCTTACCCATGTGCACTCTGCGAGAAGCGGTTCGCACGTGGTGGTCAGGTAAGCGCTGGTGCATAAAACAGAGTGGCATATATTTTATTATCTCTTCCTCTTATCATGTTTGCAGCTGCAGCAGCACATGTTGTCACATCATAAGACCAGCATTCAGCAATTTAATTGCACCAAATGTTCAGCTAGCTTCTCGACTAATGCCAATTTGCGCGTGCACATGGAGCGCCATGAGCAAGGCATGGAGCATAGCTGCAGCATATGCGAGTCTCAGTTTCCGAACGACTTGGCCTTGCGCGCACACATCAATCAGGAGCATCACAAACTTAGCCGCTTCGATTGCGAGGTTTGCCACAAAACCATCGAGCCTGATGATGATCTCGCCTCACACATGCTGCGTCATGCCGCTGTCAAGACACACGTCTGCGAGATTTGCAACTCCTACTTCACCCAAAAGTCGCAGTACAATGTGCACATGCGCATGCACACGGGCGAGCGTCCATATCAATGTCGCGTGAGTAATCGATACAAAACGAGGAGATATTAAAAAACTTGTTACGTTCTTTAATTTGGGCAGCGATAACTTTCCTAAAGAGTTTCATAAATAATGTAATACTTAAATTTCACTTTGTTTTGTAGATCTGTCATCAGACCTTCGCGCACTCGACTGTTCTGAAACTTCATATACGTAAGCACACAGGCGAGAAACCCTTTCGCTGTCTGCTTTGCACGGACGAGGTGGCTTTCTCGCAACTGGCCCATCTCAAGAATCACATGAAGAAAATTCACAAGCAGCAAAAGCCCTATATGTGCCATGGCTGCCATGACTTCTTCAAGATTAAGGTCGAGCTGCAGGCACACGTGGAGCAGTGCGCCAAATGCCAGGCGAATGATAAAGCTACGCTCACGCCCGATTCACAGGCCGAAAAAGATACTCATGCATTAACCAGCATTCGCTTCAATATGGCGGTGGTGCTTAAGAAAATTAGCTCCGCGCAAAAGTTGCGCCAGTTGGGCTATGAAAAGCGTCTGATCGACAATGTAATCATCGCCTCCTTAAAGCTGGCACAGCGACCGGCACATGACGATGCGCAGCTAACACCACTGGCCCGTCTGCGTTTAAATGTCGAGGAATTTCTCAAGTGGATTGTGCCAGCGCCTACAATGCAAAAGTTTCGCGATGAGTTGCTATCCATCGACACGATTCTTGATAAAATTGCGACTATATATATGAAGCAAAAGTAGAAGCAGGCACTTTTGCTCTCCACACAACGTGCCATATGACGAGGATGGATATTTGTTTAGTTCTAAGCCATTGCAGCTCTTGCCATTTTCGTATCCTAAAGCTATACGACAAAAACCAAATATTTTATCCCAAAGATGTTTAACAATAAGCACTGAAACCTTTGAGAATTTACTTTAATTTTAGTTTGATTTTTGAAATGTTTAGTTTCAATTGAGCCTAAACTTGCCCGAGCAGTGCTTAGTGCGTATCAGTAGTGTTAAGTTAACTTGGCAACATGTGGCCATATAGATTTTAAACTTGGCAGCGGTCAAGTTTTTGCTGACTGTCGGGCCATTTATTAATTACTACTTACCTAAGTATTTACCTTAGCTAATCCCAAAGCCATTGTACAACACCGAAAAATAAAGTATAAATGCAAATGTACAACTAAATAAATTGCGTAACAGAAATATTGCACGATTATTTTGAAGTTATATCTTAAGGACTTCGAAATCGGGGCTTTAAAATTATGCTATATCAATTGTACTACCTTTAAGTTTATCGACTAAATCGATTGGCTTAACCTAACTAGGTTCAAGCTTTAATAAACGAAAAATCTAACTCGCATGTTATCATTCAGCCGATTTGATTTGCAGTGGAAGACTAAAATTTGGAGCTACATTTAATTTGAGTTTAGAAAAAAATTAGAAGTGGTTTTCAAAATTTGGAACCTTAATCAATGATAATAAAATACAAATTAATACAATTGTTAGTATACTCCACATAAGAAATAATTAGTCAGGGTTAAGTTGACTTTGGAAATTTTTGCCTGAAGCTCGATATTTGCAGGCATCTGATATTTTTTTTACACCGACAAGGAAACAGAAATAGTCGAACCTAAGAAGAATGGTAAGTGTAACAGTGGGCGATGAACATTTTGGCGTAGTGGACAACCATTATAAAAGAAACATTAGTTGTAATTAACTCCAAAAATAACTATGTATATGTAACAAATTTTGTTTCTGTTACCGCAAGCACTGAAAATTGCACAAACCCAAGATTCACAAACTAAAGACAATGCATTGTTGGATACGAACTTTAATCATGGATGGCTAAACTCACACTAAAATAAGGACTCTTTAAAGTTGTACATTTTAAATTCTTCTTTAGTCTTTAAACTATGCTGACAAGGTGGGCTATTTGGCAATATGTTTTTACTTGAATTTTTAGACTGGTAATAAACTACACCAATTCTGTTTTTACACGGTAGATTGGTTCCAGAAATAACCGTGTAAAAAAGATATTGATCATATTCAAAAACAGGTGATTGGTTCCTTATCTCTAAAGAAATATATGTATTGAAATTTTCTAATATTTCAAACCGTGTTATATCGAAATCGTGTAAAAAAGACCGTGTAAGAACCGAATTAGATGTATTAAGTACAAGTGGACAAGCTTAAGTCGGGTATTCCGACTTTGAAATACTATGTACATATGTGCAGAATAATTAGAGAAAAGGAAAAAAATTATGAAAATTTAAACAAAAGTATCGAAATTGTAATATTAAAAAAAAACAAGTAAAAAAGCTAAAGTCGGGTGTCCCGACTTTGAAATACTCTGTACATATGCTTAGAATAATTATAGAAATTAAAAAAATTAAGAAAAGTAAAAAAAAATTTGGATCGATTTTACCTCTTTTGGTATTCGAATTCACGTAAAGGGTGTATAATTGCACATTTACATAGCAATTGCGTCTATGTGAGTGTATGTGCGTGCAAGCATGTTTGCAGTCAACCAAAGCACCAGTATCAACAGCAGCTGCGGGTAGCGGTTGGGCAGCGCTGGAGCAGAAAATATATTTATGGCTTTAACTTCTTGTTAAATCGGTCTATTATAGTGAAACCAATAGACCATTCCAAGAATTACGGGAGTTAGAGAAAATCGCGATTTGCATGGGAGAGGGGGGAGGGAGGGAAATTCCAAAAAACACATTTTGTGCGTATTCACATAAGGCATCTTGGACTTTAAATTTGATATCCCTAGGTTTTATAGTCTCCGAGATATACGAAAAACCTCCATAGGGGGGAAGTGGGGGGAAAATAAAAAAAAAAAACTCGTATAGCGTACACCAATAAGGCATATTTGTGCAAAATTTGATGTCTAGCTCTTATAGTCTCTGAGATCCAGGTGTTCATACGGACGGACAGACAGGGCTAGATCGACTCGTCTCGTCATGCTGATCAAGAATATATATACACTGTGGGGTCTGCCACGCCTCCTTCTGCCTGTTACATTTATACAGAGTATAAAAAGCCCGTTTCAAAAAATTACGTTTTTTGCAGCTAAACTGTTTGGGCAAGCAGAAATTGTTTGTTGCAGAAAATTAAAGTAATAATGTAGTATAATACTATGTTGATATAGGAAAAATTAAAAGCCTTCGCCAATTATATTTAAATCATGTGTATTTAAGTTGTAACCTAACTCTAGAGAAATTAAAAAAAAAAAACACTCGAATTGGCTTGATTTGAACTTGATTGTTAAAATTGATGGTCATTTTGAGTGATTGAAAACGGTACCGTCGAGCAAGCCCGCAGTGAAATACCCTGTACTCTAACTCAAAACTCAATCCAAAAACAAACAGAGAACGCTACAGTCCAGCAAGCCCGACAGTAAAATAGCCTGTACTCTCCACAAAAAAGAAAAATTTAAAAAGACAAAATTTTTTTAAAAATTAAATTATTAAAAAAATTGAATTAATTAAATTAAATTAGAAGACATGTTTATATTCAGTTTTAACAGCATACATTTACATCACGTGCCTATGCGTGTTTATATGCGTGTGTGTATGCAGCACAAAGTTGAACCAAAGCAGCAACAACAACAACAACAGCTGCGGGCAGCGATTTATTTATGGCTATAACTTTCTTCATAATTGACCTATCATGATGGCACTTGGCATAAGGACAAATAACTATGAACTGGATGTATATGCCAAATTTGAGTTCAAAATTCCAAGAATTACCGGAGTTAGGAAAAACACGAATTGCGGGGGAGTGGGGGGGGGTGTATCAAAAAAAAAAAACACAAACTCGTTCTGCCTAGGGCTTAGGGGAACCTGAATGCCAAGTTTGGTTATCCTAGCTATTGTACTTGCTGAGATCGTTGCGCTCATACAGACAGACGGACGGACGGACAGTCGGACATGGCTATATCGACTTGTCTTGTCATCCTGATCAATAATATATATACTTTGTGGGGTCTGCCACGCCTCCTTCACCCTTTGGGTACAGGCTATAATGAATTAACTCATATTTAATTAATTTTTTTTTGTAAAGTAAAATATACATATTGCATGGGGGAAAATTATACGTCATACGTTATACGTTTTTTTTTGTTTTTTTTATGTGTCCAAAATAAATTTGGTGTGGTATATCTTCATACGCCGAATTTATTCCAAAAAAGTGAAAAAAGGACCATAGTGGGTCGGACTAATCCTATGACTTTAGTTCCTTATAAGTATGAACAGAATGTACGAATGTACATGCTCAGAGATACACACTCTGGTCTTTGCTTGCTGGCCGTAGCTCGCGGTACACACCCAATGCAGTGGCAATGGCAACAGTAACAGCAACAGCAATGGGAACAGTTATGTACAACTGCCACATAAATGTACATGGATGCTTTGGCTGCTGCCTGTTGGCCACTATATATGGATGCGTTTGTGCAAATTTATAAGGCACTCACATTAGGCGGCAAATATTTTTATGGCCTCCACTGCTGAGCATCTGTTTGGGTCTTCGAGCTACCCTGGCCCTGTCCCCCCATGGCAATTAATGAAATATCCAACACAAATTTATTGACATGGCTATAAATGTCAATGAAGGAAACTTCCGCGCGAGATATATGGCGAATTTTATATGTATCTATATGTTTTATCTAATGCGTGTGTAAGGATAATTTTATAACTAACATGGGGCGTTGGCGTGTCGCAGTTACCAGCCTTAGGCTAGGGAGCTCTCAATAGAAGCGCCCAATGGGCAACATGTGGAGCTGCGGCTGCTGTGTTTTTTATTGTAGTTTGTGGTGGTGGCGGTGGCGGTGGTGGCATTGCGTGTTACCTCATCTCAAGATGTGCGACTTAACCGCTCGTGTTGCACGCCGTCTCAGTCTAATGTCTACATTTGTGACGACGTCCGTTGCGTGCCAAAGCCACAGCTTGTGCCAAAGCACTGTGGTTCCCAATTCAATTGTTTTTTTTTTTATTTTTATAATACATATTTTATAAAATAGAATGAATAATATTGTCAAACATAAACCAATTTCTTTCCTCTTCCTGTCTAGCAAAATTTAGATTTTTAACATTTTTATTTCCTGTTTATTTATTCATTTCTGTCAATAAACAAGATTGAAAAATATTCGGAATAACGCTCAATCAAAAGCATGAAAGAAAAATAAATTAATATCTAATAAAAGCAACCAATTGTTAATGATTCTACAGGTCTAAAGCCACTCAACTTTAAATGATCAAGTGAAGACTCTTTAAACATAAACGAGAAAACAAAAAAAAAATATATAGTTTAAAGGAAAATGTTAAATGTTTTCAATTACAGGTGCAGTATTTGTTGTCTTTGCCCAACCTGAGATGGCCGAAAAGAACCTTTTATAATATTTTATCGTATGCTCTTTTGCCATGAGTATTTTAAAATCGTTTTGTTTTTGTAGCAACCAAAAAGAAGAAAAGTATGTATATCTAAAACATGAACAACAAGGTGCTCTCGAGTCCGGGTAAGTTAATTAGTTACTGGCAGTTGATCCGTTTTAATCCTGAATTGTATTTATCCGTTGCACAATAAATCCAAAACAGCAGAAACCCAAATATAATTTTACTAAGCAGAAGTTTGGAATTAAGAATGAAATACTGCGCATTAATTTCACATAATTTTAAATAGAATCGAATTGGAATTATACAATTATTAATAGTTCAGAATTAGGTTAAATAAAGATGAATGAAATGTACAAAAATCAAAGAAAATTAACTATGTTTGGGAATGCCTGGGAAATCTCTTTTATTTAGCGCAAAAAAAGCATTGTTTAAAACGAGTGTGCAGCGTGTTTGTGACTCTGTGCCTTGGCAACTAGACAGAGGTGCCCTTTTTGCTGCTGCAGATGCTTCAGCGCATTAGAACAAATTGCTCTTGTTGCGATTGCATGCCCATTCCTTTTACCTTCTTTGGTCTTATGCAAGATCGCAACTGGGCATTGTGGTTGTTGGTGCTGCTGATATTGTTGTCGTTGGCGAGGCTCTTGCTGCAATTGTTGGGCTGTTAGTTTTCCAAGTGAAATTCGTGAACAGCAAAACAAAAACGAAAACAAATAGTCGTCTCTGCTTGTTATTTGTGCAGTTGCAGCTTCCATTGCAGGCAGACGTCGAGCCACAGCCTCCAAATGAGAG